AGGCTGAGAACTAATACACTATAGGGCTAGGGTTGTGGCTCAGTGGTAGAACACTCGCYTAGCATGTGTGAGGCCATGGGTTTAATCTTCAGCACCACATAAAAATAAATAAATAAAGTTATTGTGTCCAACTACAACTAAAAAATAAATATAAAAGAGAACTAATACAATATACATTTATTTCCCTACGCTTTCTTTCATTCAGCAAACTTTCTATTGAAGTTCTCTTTATATCTGGCTTACTAAATATTAGTAGAATTAATAAATGCATATATTCAAACATATAAGGCACTGGGCACAAAGAGATGAATGAAATGTGACTTCTATTCTACAGGGCCTCACAGTCTTTGTGAATAGAAAGAAAGTGAAAGAAAGTGGAAATGAAGGTAGACAGGTACTCTAGTACAATCAAATATTCTAGCAGGCACTAAGGCATGAGGCAAGGAAGAATAAAATGTAATTGGGGAAGACTGAATGTTTCAGCCTGCTGAGATCTAATAGCACCAGTTTCAAGAGAGAGGATGGCCAGTCTAGAAGTCAGAGGGTGGCTTCAAAAAGCATAAATTTGTATTATATACCTTCCTTTTGTAACTAAATGTCAACAGGCACACAGTTCAGACTTCCTAAATTATTATTTGCAGTGGTAGGGACTGAACCTACCCAGGGCCTTATGTACGGTAGACAGGTACTATACTCTAAATTATTACCAATCACAATCTCATCACAGTTTCACACAATAAAAGGTGGTATAATACATAGATTAGGAATATGTTTTTTGACATTACATACAATAATTTAACCTGAGTCTTTGGCTTCCCTGTCTGTAAAATGAAGCTTATTACACTACATATATTCTATTTTAAGATGCACACTTTTTCATACTCAAGCTCTTTTGAAATAAATATACATATTAAAGTCAGTATTCATATTTAATTTTGTAGTTTTTTTTCTCCCACCCCAAAGCTATCATATTAATACACCTTTTACTTATAAGGATGGATCTCAGAGCCCGGGCATGGTGGCACACACCTGTAATCCCAGCAGCTCGGGAGGCTGAGGCAGGAGGATCGTGAGATCAAAGCTAGCCTCAGCAACTTAGCAAGGCCCTAAGCAACTCAGTGATAYCCTGTCTCTAAATAAAATATAAAAAAGGCTGGGGATAGGGGCTGGGGATGTGGCTCAAGCGGTAGCGCGCTCGCCTGGCATGCGTACGGCCCGGGTTCGATCCTCAGCACCACATACAAAGAAAGATGTTGTGTCCGCCAAAAACTAACTAACTAACTAAATAAATAAATATTAAAAATTCTCTCTCTCCCTCTCCCTCTCTCTTTTAAAAAAAAAGTCTGGGGATAAAAAAAAAACAAAGGCAGAATGATGTCTTTGATATGAGGATGCAGATGCATAATGGCGACTGGGGTGTGGGAGCATGGGAGGAATAGAGGAACTTTAGATAGGACAAAGGGGAGAGAGGGGAAAGGAAGGGGTAAGGAGGTGGAATGAGTTAGACATCATTACCCTATGTACATGTAAAAGACACATATGGTGTGAAAATACTTTGTGTAAAAACCAGTGTCTTGAAAAATTGTGTTCTGTATGTGTAATATGAAATGAATTGCATTCAGCCATCATGTATAACAAWTCAGAATTTTAACAAAAAGGGCTGGGGATAGGCTCGGTGCTTAAACATCCCTGGTGCCTTTGGAAAAAAAAAATGGATCTCAGAAACAAAAAACAGTTAATATAACACTAATCCTCAGTTTCTTTCTTTTTTTTTTTTTTCTTTTTTTTTTAAGAGAGAGTGAGAGAGGAGAGGGGGGGAGGGAGAGAGAGAGAGAGAGAGTTTTTTTAATATTTATTTTTTAGTTCTTGGCGGACACAACATCTTTGTTGGTATGTGGTGCTGAGGATCGAACCCGGGCCGCACGCATGCCAGGCGAGCGCGCTACCGCTTGAGCCATATCCCCAGCCCTAATCCTCAGTTTCATCATCAGTAAGACTGATGTACTAATTCTAACCAGGTCATAAGTTTTTATAAAGATTAACTAAGATAAAACCCATTAAACTCTTGTACTTTCCACAAAGGAAATCACACATACACACAAACAGTATTCATAGTGACTATATTAGAAGAGAACTGGTGTTTTGGATGGAAGGCCACTTCCATAAAAGGCTGTTTCATAAAAGATGAAAGAAACTTGTTCAGGTCTTGCTGCTAACCTTTTCCTTGATTAATAGATTTTTGACAGGATTCGTTAAACTGTGGAGCCCCTGGAAGTCCTACTATTTCTAAGGTGTATCTGATCTGGCTGAGTGCACTTTCATACAATCAGAAGGGCTGGGGATGTAGTTCAGTGGTCAAGTGCTTGCCTAGCATGTGCAAGGCACTGAGGTCTGATCCCCAGCACAACACATACAGAAAACAAAAACAGAAACAAAAACTTAATTAAATCAAATCATTGTGTTCAAAACCTTCCAGTGGCTTTTCTTTCTGTCAAAATGAAAGCCCGAGAAAGAAAAAAAAAAACAAAACAAAACAAAAAAAAAAAACCCTAACATAAGGGAGCTGGTCTGACAATAGCTAGACCTCAGTATTGCTAGAAGCTGGCCTGGCACTCATAGAGAGGTCAGGTTGTTCTTTCGTCTTCTTTTTTTGGTACTGGGGATTTAACCCAGAGGCACTTAAAAAATAAGTCACATTTCCAACCGTTTTTTAATTTTTAATTTTGAAACACGGTCCTACTAAGTTGCTTAGGGCCTTGCTACTTTGCTGAACTTGGCTTTGAACTTGTGATCCTCCTGCCTCAGCCTCCCGCACCACTGGGATTACAAGCATGTACCACTGCACCCAGCTGCCAGGTTATTCTTCTGTTGCACATAAACCATTTCACAGAACGCCAACCCAAACATAGTCACTCAGATCATGAGAAAGTGAGACACAGCAGGGCCACTTAATTTTGTCTGAACAAAGACAAGAACAAGGTCACTGTGTAATCTATGAAATACCAAACATTCTCCTCTCTCTAATAAAATTGACTGAGGTTTCTTTACCAATTGTGGCTTTATCCTCACCCTATTTTGTTCATCTTACAGATAATATTTATTGAGATATTCCAGTCACAGAAATGTCCCTGCTTTCTGACAGGATACAATCCAGAGTGAAGATTTGTTTCCTTAAAACCTTCCCCAAGTTACCCAGATCCTATAATAGTTTCTTTCTAACACTCTTACTGAGCTGTCCCAATGGTTCCCCCACAATACTTTCCCCCTATTTCAAGGAGTAATAAATCCACTTTGTTTAAACACAGGTGTGTTCCTGATGGTCTCTGGCTGGAGGGAAAAAACACAGTCCTGAAAATTGTCTACAAAGCCCCACAGTGGCTCTTTGATATGACCTCAGAATCGCCTGGAAATCTGTTTAAAACAGATGGCTGGGGATCCCCAGAGTTTCTGATTAAATAAATCAGGAGTAGGAGTGGGGTCTTAGAAATGACTTAACCATTAATTTCTAAGAATATACACTGAAATATACAATGCATGCATATTTCAAAACAAAATGTTGTATACAATAAATATATATAATGTTTCTAAGAATATACACTGAAATATACAATGCATGCATATTTCAAAACAAAATGTTGTATACAATAAATATATATAATGTTTGTGTCTATTGATAAAATTGATTTTTTTAAAAAAGAACTGCATTTCTAACACATTCCAGGTGATACAGAGGTTATTATCTGAGACCAYACTGAAAAATCACTTATGTAAACCATCTCTCCTTCCTGCTTTTTTTCTCTGACTTCCATCTCTGCTTGCTCACTTCTTACTTCATTTTATTCCAGCCATTTGGGCCTCCTTGTTGTTTTGAGCCTCCCCAAACACATTCCTGTCATAGGACTTTGCTTTGGTTGCCCTCTAATTGAACACTCATCTCCTCACCTCTCAATGAGATATACCCTGGTCCTCTTTATCGTATCATTTAAAATTTTTATTCTTCACCACACTTAATCAGTCCCAACATGACTTACTCCCCCCCCCCCCCCCCCCCCCCCCCCCCCCCCGTTGCTGGGGAAATAACCTTTGTGTCAATGCACTTGTGTCAATTTCATTGGCACACTCACAGAACTGAAAAGTTGGCACTAAATGGATTAAGAAATGCTCCTTCCAGCTTTTCACTGTCTTCTCCTTATTGAGTCACAGCATCCCTACTTTTGGCTCTTCCTATAAATACAATCACCTTCCTGACTGACAAACCTCTTGATAACTACAATAGCCAGCTACTACAACTTTTTAGCCCCAGCGCCTCAAGTCAGGGGTTCAGGGTAGATAAGTCGCCTCACAAGTCAAGGAGACTGAATAACACCAGAAAATTATAGTATTCTCCATCTGTTCTTCACCTTCCTCTTCCAGACGACTGTATCCACTAATCTCCTCCCTCTCTAGTTTTCAAACTTTTGCCCTCCCTCCAACAGGGTTTTTTCTCTCTCAACCACTAACAGTTTTGGCAAAAGTCCAAAAAAAAAAAAAAATGCATCACCTTCACTCTTATCTGTTACCTGACAAGACTCCTCCTGTTTTCCCTTTCTACTCTTTGAAATTTAGCTTTTAAATTTCCACTACCTCTTCCTCCCCATATCCTACTACAATTTTCGGTCTTGATTTTTTTTCTGGTACTCGGTTGAATTAAACACATTTCTACAAAATCGCGTGTTGCTTCTACGTCTTTTGCTACTTCTACACAAGTCCTTCCTACTCCTCTTTTCAGAACTGTCTGGGTTTCCTTCCAGCAAGCTGCGGGAGGTTCGCTTTCTGCCCACGCGGTTCTAGCCGCCCTTTCCTTACCTGACTGCTCAGCGCTTCAGCCTCTGGGCGGAGTCCCAGCTGAGCCTGCGGCGTTGAATGCGGCTGGAATTTCGTCTGGGAAGGGGCGGGCCCTTAGACTGCTAGGCAGGGTTGGACCTCCGCGGCTTCCGTCTTGGAGAGGTTGCGGAAGAAGGTACTGGGGCTGGGGTCCTAGAACCGTGCTCCGGGATCTGGCTAGAGATGGAGTTCGACTGCGAGAGTGTGAGACGGCTGCTAGGCAAGGTGTGAGCAGCCTGCTGGGCTGAGTCTGGGACGCGGGGATCGGGAGGGAGGGTGTCACCGCCCCTGAACGGGCTGCCGCGCCTCGCGTTACTCGGTTTGGAGCTGAGACCCACTGGTCTGAAGCCGGCTGTGAGCAGCGACCCCTGGGAGGCCACGGGATCTGAGGCCACCTTGCCCCACCGAGGCCTGGGCTTTCGCTCTACTCACTGCTCCCCAGTTTCTACCCGCAAGAGTGCTTCTCAGCCACGGTCTTTGCTGGCCTCAAACAGCCCCAGCACACACTGTCCCTGTGATCACGCCTTTTTGCTGAAATGGCCTGCTCTTTTTCCTCATCCTTTTTAAGACTCAGGCACTGCTGGAAGTCTGACTTACTTCTTCCTCTCATCTGCTTTCAAAAACATGTTACCACTTTGTGGAGTAATTATTTACAATTTTTTCTACTGTTGTGAGCTCTTTTGAAGGCAGGCACTGCGCTTTTCTGTATGCCCTTCACCTAGCGCTATGCCTGACAGYAGCATAGATGCTGAATAGCTGAATGATAGACCTGAGTAGATACAAGTATGAAGACAGAGCCCAGGAAAGATCCTTTTAATATTGAAAGGTTGAGGATGGGAGGAGTGATCCATAAATCTGGTGCCTGACTAGTGTGAGTTTCCAGTGAGAAGATTAAAGGCACCTCTGACCTCTTAGACCCCACCAGTTAGCAGTCTGAGAAAATTCTCATTTTCAGGAGTTTCCTCCTTAAGTGATTCTTAATATTTCCCTGTGCAGAAGTCATACACATAAGCTATTTTGTTGAACCTGCCTGACTTCTCTTTTGCGGGGGCATTTTGCACACCTCTGGGAGGTTTTGAAGCCTCAAGACTAAAATTATTTATATAATTGATTTGAATGAGTTTATTTATTGTGAAAGATGTAAATCTTGTAGGAAGAGAAGTATCATCATTCTTAAAATTACTACCCTTTCTGTCCCCTCTTTGAAGAATGTTAAATTAAAAGAACCAGTCTACCAAGTTATTCTGTTTGGTTGGTTCCCTTCCTCCCCCATACTGGAGGATTGAACCCAAGGCGCTTTAACGCCGAGCTACTTCCCTAGCCCTTTTTTGTTTATTTATTCTTTTGGGGTACTGGGAATTGAACCCAGGGGATTTTGACCATTGGGCCACATCCCCAGTCCTTTTTACTTTTTATTTTTGAGACAGGGTCTTTCTAAGTTGTTTTAGGACCAAGCCAAGTCGCTGAGGTTGGCCTCAAAACTTACCATGAGGCTCCTGCTTCAGACTCTCAGGTTGCAGGAATTACAGGAGAGCCACCACAGCTGGCTTCTTTTTACTTTTTATTTTAAGACAGAGTCTGGCTAAGTTGCCCTGGTTGACCTCTAACTTGGGATCCTCCTGCCTAGGCCTCTGCAGTAGCTGGAATTATAAGGGTACAACACCATGCCTGGTACTACCAAGTGTTAATGTGGGGAGGATGATCAATGTCCTCTATGGGAAGAATTGTTTAAAAAAAAAAAAAAAAAAAAAAAAAGCTTTGGTTGAACTGGAACAAAGGAAAATAGAGACAAAGATTTTCTTAAGGGTGGAAGTAGAATAGAGGAATTTATTATTATTATTATTATTAGACTCAGCTCCTCAAGAAGGCCTTTCTGTAATTTGGATATGCTTTATGTTGACTGATAATTTCCTGCCTCTACTTACTATTTGCATTCATATTTTTTTAATATCTCATTTTTACATGTTAATTATGAGATMTTCATGCATACTATTGAAGAAGCTGATAGGCAGTTAAGTTATATCTTTTTTTTTTTTTTTCTTGATACTGGGGATTGAACTCAGGGTCACTCAATCACTGAGCCACATCCCCAGCCCAATTGTGTATTTTCTTTAGAGACAGGGTCTCACTGAGTTGCTTAGCTCCTCGCTTTTGCTTAGGCTAGCTTCAAACTTGCAATCCTGCCTCAGCCTCCTGAGCCACTGGTATTCAGGCACRTGCCACCAAGCCTGGCCAAGCTATATCTTTTTAAAATTAAAAAAATTCTTTTTAGTCATATACAACACCAGAGGACACCCTGACATAATCACAAAAGCATGTAATACAACCCACTCCAATTCAGTCCCCAGCACTGCCTTCCCCTGTCTTCCCTCCACTCCAGAAATCTCTCTTTAAACTATTTATGGTTTACTTTTTTTTTTTTTTTAAATTAGTGTCCTGTGGATATACCCAATGCTGGGACCCACTGTGCCACATCCATGCATGCATATGTAAAAGTTGGGTCAGATTCATTCCACTGTTCTTCCCTTTTCCTTTTCACATTCCACTGTTCTTCCCTTTTCTTCTTTCAATCCCCTTCATCTATTCTAATGATATTTCCTCATTTTGATGAAATTCCTTCTCCCTTTTTATTTTTTCTCTTTTCCTTTTCTTTTTAAATCTCTCTCTGATCCCTCATTTTGAATTCCCTTCTGCATATCAGAGAAAACATTCARCCTAGGACTTTTAAAAATTGCTAAAACATTGATGTGGCTGCAACACTGCAGTATGCTGATTTTAAATCTTTGGGATATATACCAAGGAGTGGGATAGCTGGTTCATATTGCTGGTTCCATTACTAGTTTTCTAAAGAATCTCCATAATGCTTCCAGAGTGGTTGCACTAATTTGTTCTCCCATCAACAGTGTATGAGTATACCTTTTTCCCYACATCCTCACCAACATTGTTATTTGTATTCTTTTTTTCACTTTTTTATTTGTTTTTTTTAGATATACATGACAGTAGAGTGCATTTTGACATACATACATGGAATATAACTTATTCTAATTAGGATCTCATTCTTGTGATTGTACATGATATGAAGTTTCACTGGTCACGTATATTCATACTGAACATAGGAAAGTTAYGTCTGATTCATTATACTGTCTTTTTCCTACTCTCCTCCTTACTTCCTTCCCTTCATTCCCCTTTGTCTAATCCAATGAACTTCTGTTCTCTACCCTCACCTTATTGTGTGTTAGCATCCACATATCTGAGAGGACATTTGCCTTGATTTTTAGGGATTGGCTTATTTTACTTAGCACGATAGTCTCTAGATCCATCCATTTACTGGCAAATGCCATAGTTCCATTCTTCTTTATGACTGAGTAATTTTCCATTGTGTATATGTTCCACATTTTCTTTATCCATTCATTTGCTGAAAGGCACCTAGGTTTGTTCCATAGCTTGGCTCTTGTGAATTGATATGACTGCATCATAGTAGTATGCTGATTTTAAGTCCTTTGGGTATATACTGAGGAGTGGGCTAACTGGGGCAAATAGTGGTTCCATTCCAGGTTTTTAGAGGAATCTCCATACTGCTTTCCCGTGCACCAGTTTGCAGTCCCACCAGCAATGTATGAGTGCATCTTTTTCCTTACATCCTTGCCAACATTTATTATTCTTGATAACTGCAATTCTGACTTGAGTGAGATAGTTTTGAGTTGAATTTCCTAATTGCTGGAGATGTTGAACATTTTTTCATATTTTGTTGACCATTTGTATTTCTCCTTTTGAGAAGTATTTGTTTAGTTATTTTGTCCCTTTATTTATTTATTTGTGTTACTTTTTTAGTTTGTTGTATATTTTGAATGTTAATGTCCTATCTGAGGAGTAGATGGCTGTTGTATATTTTGAATGTTAATGTCCTATCTGAGGAATAGGCGGCAAAAATCTTCTACAATTCTCTAGGCTCTCTTTTCATGCTTTTGTTACCYTTGCTGTTCAGAAGCTTTTCAATATGACACAATCCCACTTATTGATTTTTAATTTTATTTCTTACACTTTAGGAGTCTTGTTAAGGAAGTCAGTTCCTGTGCCAACATACTGGAGTGTTGGGCCTACATCTTTAGCAGCTGCAGGGTTTCTGGTCTAATTTTGGGTTTCATCCCAGGGATGCAAGGTTGGTTCAACATATGGTAATCAGTAAATGTAATTCACCACATAAACATATCAACCTCAAGAATCACATAATTACCTAAGTAGATGCAGAAAAAGCATTTGACAAAGTACAGAATCCATTCGTGTTTAAAACACTAGAGAAATGAGGCATAGAAAGAATTTACCTCAACATTCTAAAGACTATAAATGATAAACCTAAGGCCAACCTCATACTGAATAGAGAAAAACTGAAAGTATTTCCTCTAAAAATAGGAACAAGAAAAGAATACCCACTTTCACCACTGCTATTCAAGATAGTCCTTGAAATTCAGGCAGAGAAGGAAATGAAAAGGATACAAATAGAAAAAAAAGAGTTCAATTTTCTCTGTTTGCTGACAAACATGATCCTATATTTAGAAGATCCAAAAAACTCCACCAAAAGAATTCTAGAGCTCATAAATGAATTCAGCAAAGTAACAGGATACAAGGTCAACACTCATAAATCAGTCGCATTTCTGTACTCCAATGAGGAATCTGCCGAAAAAGAAATTAGGAAAATAATCCCCCCTTCACAAAAACCTAAAAAAACAAAACAAAACAAAACAAAACCTCTTGGGAATCAATCTAACACAAGAGTGAAGGATCTCCACAGTGAAAACTATAGAACATAAAGAAAGAAATTGAAGAAGACCTTAAAAGATAGGAAGCCTTCCCATGTTGTTAGGTAAAATTAATATTGTTAAAATGGCTACAGTACCAAAAGTACTACACTGATGCAACACAGTCCCCATCAAAATTCCAATGACATTCTTCACAGAACTAGAAAAGGAAGTTCTGAAATTAATTTAGAAAAATGAAAGAACCCAGTATAGCCAGAGCAATCCTTAGCAAAAAGAGTGAAGCAGGAGGCGTCACAATACTGGACCTCAAATTATTCTTCAGAGCTATAGTAACAAAAATAGCATGATATTGGCACCATAACAGGCATGAAGATCAATAGAATACAAGACATAAAGATACACCCACATATATACAGTTTTCTTGATACTAGACAAAAGCACCATAAACATACAGTGAAGAGAGTCTTTTTAACAACCAGTGCTGGGAAAACTGGAAATCAATATGTAGAAGAATGAAATTTAACTCCTATCTTTCACCCTGCACAAAAGTCAACTCAAAGTGCATCAAAGACCTAGACATTAGACCCAAAACCCTGTAACTGCTAGAGATCTTTTTTACTAATGAAAAATTTAAGGCTCAGAGAACAAGATCCATTAACAGTCATTCCCCATTTTCTCTCAATCTCCCCCAATCCTAAACATCCACTAATCTATTTTCAGTTTCTGTGGATTTGACTAATCTGAATATTTCATATACATAGATCATATGATGTTTGATCTTTTGCACTGGATTTCCTTCGCTTAGCATAATGTTTTCAAGGTTCATCCATGTATCAGTACTTTGTTCCTTTAATGACTGAGWATTCCACTTTATGAATATGACACATTTTATTGGATAAATCCATCAGTTGATGGGCATTTGGATTGTTTTTGCTATTATGAATGAAGCTGGTATGATCAATTATATTCCATTATTTATGTGGATATGGTTACATTTTTCTTGGGTACATACCTAGGAGTGGAATTTCTGGATCATTTGATAACTCAATATTTAATATTTTGAAGAGCAGTTCTCACTGCTTTTCTAAAGTAGCAACACCATTTTATCACTAGCAGAGGTATATTTGTATGGAAGTTCTGATTTCTCCATATCTTCTCCAATGCTTGTTACTGTCTCATTTGGATTATAGCCTATCTTGATAAGACCATGAGTCCTTCAGCTTTCTTGTTCTTTTTCAAGACTGATTTGACCATTCTGAGCCCCTTAAATTTCCATATGCATTTTAGAATCAGTTTGCAAATTTTTATTTTAAAAAGCTAGCTTACATTTTGATAGGGATTGTGTTGAATCTGTTGGAGAATATTGCCATTTTAATAATAATCTAATCCACAAACATGGGATGTCTTTCTATTTATATAGGTCTATTTTATTTCTTTCAACAAGGTTTTGTGTTTCAATTTTGTACCATGTTGAATTTATTTCTAAGTATTTTATTTACAGAATATTAATATATCCTCTCTTTTTTCCTTTCACTTAATCCTTTCACAAGTCTCAGGAGTGGGTATTATTTCTCTTTGCAGAATAAGTTCAAAGAAATGAAATGATTTTGCCCACAARGTAACCAAGATAGTATTTCTGGGAGGACTTCTTCATAAATGAGGAGGTAGTTCACTTAACAGTAAATGCTTGCATGCGTTTGTTTTCCCTTTGTTTTTGTTTTGTTTTCTTTTATATTTGATATCAGAGATTGAACACTGGGGTGCTTTACCACTAAGCTAGATCTCCATTTCTTTTTATTTTGAGACAGGGCCCCTTTTAAGTCAGGCTGGCCATGAATTTGCGATCCTCCTGCCTTAGCCTCCTAAATTGCTGGGATTACAAACATGTGATATCATGCTGGCTTGTTTTCCCTTGAAACCCAGGATGCAGGTCAAGAAGTATGGGATGCGAAATCATGTCTCAAGTGAATGAAGTATTCAGAAAAGAGAAGTGGATCTTGCAGTACAGGAGAATGAACCCAGGAGCACTTTACCTCTGAGCTGTATCTCTAGCCCTTTTTATTTTGAAACAGGGTCTTTCTAAATCACCCAGGCTAGCCTGGGATTTCTAATCCTCCTCCCTCAGACTCCCGAGTTGCTGGGATTATAGGCATGTGATATTCTGCCTGGCTGACAACTGGATCTTGAATAGTGGTGATAGGTAATTCTTTCTGCCCTATCTCTTTTAGACTTCAGAAGATATTTGGAAGCGGTTTGATTTAGTAATTAAAGGCCCAAGTCCCGGCTTTGAGCTCTGGCTTCAATATTTTACTTGCTATCTGACTCAGCAAATTACTTTACTTCTCTAGATTTCCCTTTCTTCTATAAAATAGAGCAGTTGTGCTGGGTGCATTGGTGCACACCTGTAATCCCAGTGATTTGGGAGGCTGCTGCAAGAGAATCCCTAGACACCAGCCTTGGCAATTTACCAAGACCCTATCTCAAAACAAAAAATAAAAAGGGCTGGGATGTAGCTTAGTGGTAAAGTGCCCCTGGGTTTAATCCACAGTACTGCAAAAGAAAAGGCAGGGAAAAAGAGCAGTTGTAAGCCCAACTACTTCTTAGGGTCATGACTGGATCAGCATTCATGTTTATAATGTTCTAGGGCGTAGTGTGTAGTAAATGTTCAGTTAAGTGTTAGTTGTAATTGTTTTCTTACTCATAGATTAATTTTTATTCCATGCTCATTTTTTTCTTCTCAGTACAAGTTCAGGGATCTAACTGTGGAAGAACTAAAGAATGTAAATATGTTTTTCCCACATTTCAAATATTCCATGGATACCTACGGTAAGAATAATATTCTCTAATTTTTGCTGCCTTCTTTGAACTATTAATTTCTTGATCCTAAAGAACAGTAAAAATCATAATTTTTAATTTCTTTTTCTGATTTTTAACCACTTGTGATTTGAGGTCTGAGGAAATTTAAGTTAATTCAATATTATTTTGTATTAGTTTTCCGCCCCCAAAAACTGGGGATTGGATCCAGGAGCACTTTACCACTGAGCCACATCCCCAGCCCTTTGAGAWAGGGTCTTGTTAAGCTGTCAAGGTTGGCCTCCAATTTGGGATCCTTCTGCCAAAACCAGCCTCTGGATTGCTGGGATTACAGAATTGCCCATAGGCCTAGCTTTGAGGTTTTTTTGGGGGATGAGGTGGAGGAATGGTTGGTACTGGGGATTGAACCCAGGGGTACTTTACCACTGAGCTACATCCCCAACCCTTTTTATTTTTCAGTTTGAGAAGAGATCTCCCTAAGTTGCTTAGAGTCTTGCTAAAATAAATTACTTAGGGCCTTGATAAGTTGCTGAGGCTGGCCATGAACTTTTGATTCTTCCACCTCAGCCTCCCAAGTCACTGGGATTACAGCTGTGCACCACTGTACCTGTGTGTTATATTTTTATTGCTACTATAACAAATTAAAACTTACTGGTTTTTAAAAAACACAAGTTTACTATATTACGGTTTGTAGGCTAGAAGTCCATTAAGATTTTCTGTAGCTTATAAGTTTAACTGAGTTCCAATAAATGAGTCAGCAGGTCCTTTTTCCTTCGTGAACAATGTGGGTGGGGGCTACTTTTTCTTTCCCTTTTTCAGTTTCTAGAGGTAACCCAAATTCCCTGACTCTTGGTCTCCTTTCTCCATCTTCAAAGCCAGCAATGTTGCAAAGCCAGCATTCTTCCGTAGGCAAATCTCCCTCTAACTGCAGCTGGTAGAGGTTCTCTGATTTTAAGGACCAATGTGATTAGATAGACCTACCCCAATAATGCAGGATAATTGAACCTTCTCAGAGGCCCTATTTTAATCACATTTAATAATTTGAAGAATGAATATTCACACATTTCCTCTAATGCATTTCTAGATTATTCTGTGTCCTTGAGTAATAATCCCTGTTCCATTCCTCTTTTCATTTTAGTTTTTCATGGATTGATGCCTTCACCCATTGTTACTTTCACTTATATAGTTCAKGGTTACATTTGTACTTACATACTGTCTTGTCCTTGAGTTTTCTGACAGCCTGTGTTATAGTCTAAATGTTTGTAACCCCCCCAATTCATATGTTAAGTTCTGATCACCAGGTGATAGCATTAGGAGGTGGGGCCTTTAGTAGGCTCTTTGCAAAAGTCCTCATAAATAGGATTAGTGCCCTTATTAAAAGCAGCCTGAGAAAGACTCTTGCCCTTCCCCTATATATGGGCACAGTAAAAAGACTGCTGTCTGTGAATCAAGAAGCAGGTTTTCCCCAGAAACCAAATCTGCCAGCACCTTGATTTTGGATTTCCCAACCTCTAGAATTGTGAGAAATAAATTTTGTTCTTTAGAAGCTTCCCAGTTTATAGTAGTTTGGTATAGCAGTCAAAACAGACTAAGAGAGCCTGGTTTTCTCTTTCCCTTTTCTTTTTTTTTTTTTTAATTTTTTTATTAGTTGCTCAAAACATTACAATGATCTTGACATATCATACATTTGATTCAAGTGGGGTATGAATTCTTTTTTTTTTCCACGTGTACAGATTGCAGTATCACATTGGTTTTACAGCCACGTTTATACATACAGCCATATTAGTGTCTATTGTATTCTGCTACTCTTCCTATTCTCCTCTTTCCCTTTTCTTATAAGTCATCAAAATCTATCTAGAATTTTTTCTTCCTCTATGGAAATAGTACAGTTACTATTAGATGTTAAAAGGATTGCTTTCCAGTGCAGTTTGATTGTTTGAAACCCTAGAGAGTGGTCTTGGTATTTAGTCCTGAGATTAGGACATTGATTCTTCACGTGTCCCAGTTATTGATGGGAAAGTTGAAATTTCAGGGACGTAAATATTGAAAAAAGGTTGAGAATAATGGATTTAAAGAAACTAAGAGAGATAATTATTGATTTTTCTAAAAGGYTGCTTTGAAAAGTAAAGCTAACATTGATTATAAAAGTGATTATAACTGACTTGTTACATGTGACAATTATTTAATTTATTACTTTAAATAATAAAATTTAATGTTTGTTTTTGGCACTGGATATTAAACCCAGGGACATTTTACCACTGAGCTACATCCCCAGTCCTTTTTTATTTTGAGACAGGCTTTCACTAAATTGTTTAGGGGCTGAGTTGCTGAGGCTGCCTCGAAGTTGCAATCTTCCTCAGCCCCCTGAGTTGTGGGACTACAGGTATGCACCACTGTGCCCATCCATCCCTACATTTTATAATACTTTGATTCTTATTACGGGTTTTCACATCTTACATGAGCCTTATGACAGCTTCATGATGCAGATATCTTTATTTTATAGATGATAAAACTGAAGATCAGAGAGATTAAAGTAGCTAAAAGTCACACAGGCCTCTAAGAGGGGAGGTGGGTCTAGAACTTGGGATTTTAGTATCAAAGTTCTGTGTTTTTTTTTCAGTTGCCCTCACTGCTAAGTAAACAATATCTAGTGATTATCCCCTTATTGTCATATATGTACTGATCCGGGTGTTTAGAGATTGTGGATGTATGTGGATGTGCATTTATATACTTTAATATAATTCTTTCTACTTCTGATTTTACATTTTGGCACTTTTTTTCTTCCAGTTTTTAAAGATAGTTCCCAGAAAGACCTGCTGAATTTTACTGGTACTATTCCTGTGATGTATCAGGGTAAGTATGGGAAGAAAGAAAATGTGGGAGTTTTCTAAAAGAGCAGTTCATTTAAACTTACACAAACTTACATTTGTTTATACCATAACATTCTCAAAGTATTTCCACATAAGAGATCTATTTAGAACCTTACTGGATCTGACAGGATTCTGTCCTAGTCAAGGAAGACCTAGATTAAACTTTTTTTTTTAATATTTATTTTTCAGTTTTAAGTAGATACAATATCTTTATTTCATTTTTATGTGATGCTGAGGATCAAACCCAGTGCCTCACATGTGTTAGGTGAGCACTCTACCACTTGAGTCACAACCCCAGCCATAAATTAAACTTTAATTCAACAATTATTTATTGTCAACTATGTGCCCATGACTCTAGTAGGTTCTGGGTTACAAAACAGATCAAGATAGCTAGGGGTGATGGTACATACCTGTAATGCCAGCAACTGGGGAAACTGAGGCAGGAGGATTGCAGGTTTGAGGCTAGCCTCAGCAATTTAGCAAGACCCTGTCTCAAAAAAAAAAAAAAAATCTTAAAAGAGGCTAGGGACATGAAAATCCTGTGGTACAGAGTTCCTGAGTTCAATATCTCATTATGAAAAAAAAAAAAAAAAGGAAGAAGAAAAAACAATGAAAAGAGAATTTAGACAGACATGGATCTGCCCTTGGGATGAGTGATTTCTGTTTTCCATAAGAAAATACAGGAATCTCACCTTCTTCTCCTTATAACTCTTGTGTTTTTTGTTTGTTTTTTCCTCTCCTCCTCCTCCTTTTATATGCTGTAGCATTGTTCCCATTCCATAGGTGAAACTGAATCTTAGTCTGCTCAAGTGATTTACCTAAAACCACTTGGTACTGTTATACAGACTCCAGTGTTTTTGAAACACAGGGGTAAACATTTTAGGATGACCTGACAGGCTAAAATAGTTAAGTATTTGCCCAAAAAGAAAAGGAAAAAAAATCACTAACTTCTATAGTTAACTGTTGTTTGTCTAGACCTACTCTGTTCAAAATGGCTAACCTTTTAGTATCATGGGAGGTTGCTTATATATGTGCTTTGAATAACAGCAACGAAGCTTTAGTTCCAAAATATTTCTCTGAAGTGGCACCCAAAATTCCATCATTAAAAAATTAATAATTTTAAAATGCAAATCATCACAATAAGAAAAATATCCCAAAGTACTAATGTACAGTGCTGTGGTTATTAGAAATTCAGTAAATACTTGTGGAATGATTGAGTTAGTTTACTTGATTACTGATTAAAGGGTTTAGGAATAAATGAGCTTAGTGGCATTTGAAAGAGGAGGTGCACTGAACAGAGAAGGAAATGGAAACCAAATAAGGACAGAACAGTGGAGCTTACTGTCTCTGGAAAGGGTTCAGCATTGTAAGAAGGGAATATATTTCCCAAAAGACAATTTTGGGAGACTTCTTTCAAGGTTGGTACTTGTAGCTCCTAGACGATCATAATTCCTTAATTACCCTCTTCCTCTATGATGACCAAGAGGTACATTCATATTTTGTTCTTCCTCTGTGTATGTTTCACCATTGATATTTCCTTTGGCACTGGGTAGGCATTCAGGAAATGGATAGGAATTCAGTTTGTTTTAATGCATAGCTGGTAATAAGTGAAAGTAGCCATTCTTGTCCTGAGCAGCATGTTCAAGTACAGTGAAAGATATCTGCAATAGGACTATGAAAACAGGAATAAATTTTTWAAAAATAATAAAATCAATAAAAAAGAATACAGGAATAAATATTGAGATATAATAATGTTCTACGCTGGCTAAGGTAATTTATTAGATTTCTAGTCTAAGTTTAGTTTTCACTTACACTGAGTTTAGCTTTGAGCTTTCTGGCAACTAAGGCAGTAAGGGTTATTTGGCTCTTGGTAGACATGTTCTATGTTGGAAGAGCATATGTTCAAGYATCTATCTCACCCTTTTGAGTGGCGGAGTCGGGGGATGAAGGAGAGATTGAACCCAGGGGCACTTAACCACTGAGCCACATCCCCAGTTTTTTTGTATTTAGAGACAAGAGTCCACTGAGTTGCTCAGGGCCTTGCTAAATTGCTGAAGCTGGCTTTGATCCTCCTGCCCTTAGCCTCCCAAGTTGCTGGGATTACAGGCATGAACCATTGTACCCAGCTTCCCCCTTGTATTAAATAGTTGATTTTCTTTAATCCAAGTGCTGGGAGTTGAACCCAGGGCCTTATTGATGCTAAGCAAGCTCTGTACTATTGAGCTGTGCTCCATGACCAATTAAGTAGATTTTTTTTAAAAAAATCTCATTGTAGTTATCATTTACAGACCTTTCTCCTTCTATAAAGAATACTGCAAAAGGGATGTTTTTTTGTTTGTTTGGTTTTGGGGTTTTTGTTTTTTTAGTTTTCCAACAAATGCATAGGCCATTTGCATCAAAATCTTTGGRGTATGTATGTGTGGACATGGATATTATTTAAAACGCACACACTTTGGGGCCTGATCCCATGTCTAAATAAATCTCAATCTCTGGAGATAAGTTCCAAGAATATGCATATTTTCCAAGTTCTTCAGATAATTCTTATGTTCACTAAAATTTAAGAATCACTGGGTAAGGTGACTCTTAAGATTATTTTCAGCTCTATGTTCTATATGTCTAACTCAGCGTATGGGTTATTATATCTGCAATTTTTTAGCTCATTGAGGGCAAATATCAAACTCCAGTTAGTCATTCATTAATTTTTTTCATTTGTTCATTCTGATTCATAAGAACCATTTATTAAGCAGGTAGTATGTTATATACTGTACTTGGTGCTGGGGATATAGAAATGAATGAAACATGAATTCTTTCTAGAAGTTTACAATGTAATAAATACAGCCTGGTAAGTGAATAATCTCAGTATAGAATAAATACAAAGAGAGATATCCAATACCTTTCAAGGAAGGTACAATATCTGTTTTGGTTGGACAAAGAAAATTACATAGAAAAGATGTATCCCAAACTTCTTGTATAGTAGAACCTGTAAATATTGATTGAATTAAATTGGATGAGCTGGCCATTGTCTTAATTTCCTCATGTTATGTTAGTGCTTTAACAGGAACATATTTCCAATGTGCATGAAATGAGGGAGATGGATCTTGATTTATTTTAATCCTTTGTATGTAAACTTGACTTAACTACCTATTTCTTAAAAATGCCACCTTGTTGTATCATAAATATGATGTATATGCTTCTTATTTTTGCTTATTTTATCTCAAATAGGTCATACATATAACATACCAATCCGTTTCTGGATTTTGGATTCTCACCCTTTTGCTCCCCCCATTTGCTTCTTGAAGCCAACTGCAAATATGGGAATTTCCATTGGAAAACATGTGGATGCACAAGGCAGAATATACTTGCCCTATCTCCAAAACTGGAGCCATGTAAGATCAATTTGGATTTTCTTCAAAGTTTTTATTTTTTCTGAATATTTGCCTTTGATTCTGATAGTAAAAATAAGCATACTACTGTATTTACTTCAATTACATTCTTCATATGATCTTTAAAGTAATTTAAAATTGAGTTCTCTAGGATCAGCCAAGTCCCAGAATACAGATGACAACAGCCTATACAAAGCTGCTGTCTCTAGGTCCAGGAGCCAGCTGTCATTTACCCCTTGTCTTTTTATAGCTGTTTGCTAATTGAGAAAGCACATGAAAAGCTTCTAGCAGGATGTTGGAGACTTATTCCTACCCCCACCCTATTAAAGATTTTTATATAATATATATATTTATTTGTGATTTTGCCTGTTTTTAACCTTTATGTATGTTTGAATCATACCATATGTAATCTTCTGTGACATGCTTTGTTTTAATTGAGCAATAATTTTTTTGTTGTTGTTTTGTGTTTTTGTTTTATAGTGCTGGGGACTGACTCCAGTACATGTTAGGCAAGTGCTGTACCACTGAATTACATCCATGACTTGAGTATGAGGTTTTAAACTTCATCTTTATTGATATATAATTGTAGCTTATTTATGTTTTGCAAGTCCTCACATTATGCAGTTTTGTATTCTCCATTTTTCATTAATCATTATATTGAACATTTCTCCCATGTTTATCTTTTCAAAGTACATGGTTTTTAATGGTTCTTTGATGATCCAGCATGAAGATATTTACATAATACATTTCAAAATTGCCATATTACAAGAAATTTAATGATGAATATACTTATATATAATATATATATTTAAAAATTTTCTAATGATAATCTCCTAGGAGTAGAATTATTGGGTGAAAATTTTTAAATATTTTAAAGGATTTCTTCTATATTGTCAAATTGGCCTTCAAAAAAGTAAACAAAATGTTGGTTTTCTGCTATCAATAGCAATGAGTGTAGAAGGGCACCAATCTYGTTTTATCCTTGCTCTAATACGAGATACTATCATTAAAACAAAATAAACCTTTGCTTATCTCTATATATTGGGTTAGGCAGATAGATGTACAGTATACTGTCACTTATAACTAAAAATTTTATGAAAGAATGGTTTGTAATATATTTATATGTACCCAGAAAGTTGTAGAATTTTAGGATCAGAGTTGAATGAGGTTATAGTAAAAAACGTCATTTGGGAGGCTGGGGTTGTAGATCAGTGGTAGTGCTTATCTCATATGTGTGAGGTACTGGGTTCAATCCTCAGCACCACATAAAGATAAATAAATAAAATAAAGGTATTGTGTCCATCTACAACTAAAAAATTTTTTTAGGGGCTGGGAATGTGGCTCAAGCGGTAGCGCGCTCGCCTAGCATGCGTGCGGCCTGGGTTCAATCCTCAGCACCACATACAAACAAAGATGTTGTGTCTGCTGAAAATTAACTAACTAACTAAATAAATAAATATTAAAATTCTCTCTTTAAAAAAATTTTTTTTTTAAATGGCATTTGGTTTCTCACTTTTGTGTTATAGATAATTGTGAAAACGGGAAATTATGGACATATTATACTTTATCTGTATGTTTTTCTATATTTTGCACATATAAAACCTTTAAAATAGAAAAAGGAAGAACATACACCAAATTATCAGGAGCAGAGCCAACTTCTATATGAACTTAATTTGCTATTTGCATTACTTGATGATTATTAAATAAGATTTCCAGTTAAATGTGATGAATGGATATAATAAAAATTAGATAATTTGAAGGACAAAAAATGGTGTATAGGGCTGGGGTTGTGGCTCAGTGGTAGAACACTTGCCTCACATCTGTGAGGAACTGGGTTTGATCCTCAGCACCACATAAAAATAAATAAAAAAAATGAAGGTATTGTGACCATCTATAACAGACAATTAAAAAAAATTGTGCCTGGATCTTAATTTTTTGTTATCCTGTTACTTGAAAAATTGAAATCTTTTTCATATTTATCAATAATGTATATTCCTTCCTTTTTGAATTGTTTATCTTCTCATCAGTAATTACCCCCTTTTTTTCTAACTTTTTTTTTTTTTTGGTACCATAGTTTGAACTCAGGGGCACTTAATCACTGAGCCACATCCCTAATCTTTTGGTGGGGGGGCGCGGGGGGGCGGGGTAGTACCAGGGATGGAATTCAGGGGCACTCGATCACTGAGTCACATTTTGTATTTTTGTATTTTATTTACAGACAGGGTCTCACTGAGATGCTTTGAACTTGCAGTATTACAGGTGTGTGTTTGCAAACACACAACTAGCAATACCCACCTTTTTTATTTTTGATTTTGAGACAGGATCTTACTAAGCTGCTTAGAGCCTCACTAAATAGCTGAGGCTGGCCTTGTGTCAGTCTTCCAAATCATTGGGATTACAGTTGTGCTCCATCATATCCATATTGGCTTTTTTTTTTTTTTAAACACTGGCAATTGAATCCAGGGTGCCACTGAGCCACATCCTCAGCCCTTTTTATTTTGGGACATAGTTTTGCCAAATTGCTAAGGCTGGCCTCAAATTTGTAATCTCCTGCCTTATCCTTGTGAGACTCTGGGTTTACAGGTATGCATTACCTGCCTTGAATTCCTTTTTTTTTTTTTTAAACTGTCTTCAAACCATATTTGGACATCTGTACCCTATTGCAAGAATTTATGTATCCTGCTTCTTCTGATTTTCTTTGACATCTTTTCATAGTTTTGTCTGTTTGCTTAATAAGTGCTCAGTAATAGTCCTATAAGTTAGTTGAGGTTATGCTTGATTTCAGTTTAGGTGGAATTTATTTCATTTTACTATTTTGAGTCTCTTTATTATAAATTAAAACTTGTCTTTAAAATATATTACATTATTTAAATCGCCCTGCTTCAAAGTACTATAGTAACTTTGARTTCTGTATGCATTTGGAATTTTAACTATGGAGTAYACTTTTTGTAGAATTTTGGAGATAGAAGGAATCTAGAAGGATTGCAGATAGTTTCCCCAAAGAGATTCAGAGGACTACAGTAAGCCTACAGAATTTTATTTGAAGAGCACAGTGGTTTTCTTTTACTTTGTTTGTTTTTGTTCTGCATATAAATTTGAATTTATATAGGCAGGCTGCTTCTAGTTTGCCATAATAACAATCTCTCCAGGTTTTCTTTTACTTGGCAGCTTCACACATTTAATGTTATCTGGTTGGTCCTTGAAGGTATTTGAATTTTTTACCCTAATGGGCTCTTGTTAATTTATAAACAGTGAAACTCAAGTCTCTGAGAAATTAAGCACTTTTTAAATGAGCATTCTACTAAATATTCCTAATAATAATAGTAAACATCTATTTTACTCTCTTAGGTTACAGTTTCTAAGGATTAGCTAATTTATATCTCCTAATAGCCACTTGAATTTATTATTCATATTATCTTACTGATGATGCTGAAGCTCAGAACAGTTAAGTGAATGACACCAAGGCTATTTAACTAGTTAAACTCAAAGAAAACATTATCAAATTAATTTTCTGATTTGATAATGGCTTTGAAGAAGAATGTCTTTTTTCCTTTTAAGAAATACACTCTAAAGGTTTTAGGGATAAGGAGATATCACATCTGCAGTTTATTTTCATTTGGGCCAGAAAAAAGAGAAAGATATTAAGAAAATATATGTGATAAAATGTTAACATTTGAGTAACCTGGCAGAAGAGTGTAYGTACTATTTTTTCAACTTTTCTGTAAGCCTGAAATTATTTCGAAATAAACAGTTAAAAAAGATAGTTCCCAAACCTAGGTATTTTGCTGCTAGTATATTCATGCTATTTTCCTATGTTTTGAGAGTTGTCAATTTAGCTTTTTTTTTTTCTTTTTTTTTTTTGCCTTTTATTTTATAAACACATGGAGTATTTTCCATGAGATCTCTGGGAGGATACTGCATGATAAGAGACTTTGCTTTTTTCAGTTAAAAGCATTAAAATAGTTAAATCATAACATAATTTGTACATAGTTTTGGAAAAATTAAAACATGACAATACAGTTGATCTTTGAACAACATACGTTTGAACTATATGGGTTCACTCAGCATTGTCTCTCTTTTTCTAACTTGCACCAATTTGAAAAAAACTTTCATATGAATCCTATAGACTGGAAATATTGAAAAGGTTAAGAAAAAGATGTGTCAATAATAYATAAAATATACATAGGTAATAATCTGTTTTATTATTTATTAATGTTAAATTTACACCAATCTATTATAAAAGGTTAAAATTTATCAAGCTGGGTGCAGTGGTACATGTCTATAATCCCAACAACTCAGGAGGCTAAAGCAGGAGGTTTTCAAGTTCAAGGCCAGCCTGGGCAACTTAGTGGAGAACCAGCAACTTAGACCCTGACTCAAAATAAAAAAATAAAGGGGTAGATATGTAGCTCAGTGGTAAAGCACTCCTGGGTTCAATCCCCACCAAAACCAAAACAAAAAAAGTTAAAAATTTGTGAAAACTTACTTATGTGCACTCATACATGGTGCCATCCAGATCATACATGGTACCACTGTATGTAACGACAATAAACAGACATAAATATGTAGTTTTAAATCATAACTGTATGAAGTTAACTGTGGTACCTTATGTATTACTGTATTATGGTAGCCTCCTCTTGGTGCTATTAAGGTACATTCATGTCACGGTTATCTGATTATCCACTTGAAATGCTGAATTATGTTAAAAATTTTAGTTTGTCTCTCCAATAAATTGTACATTATAGTAAAAATTGATCTCTCATGGATCTTGTGTAATTTTTCATTGTATATAATAACTATARCATGCAAAATAAACATTAATTGAGTTTATGTTATTGGTAAGGCTTCCAGTGAACAGGAGGCTATTAGCAGTTAAGGATTTTTTTTGTATTTGGTGTTGGGAATTGAACTCAGGGCCTCATGAATGCTAGGCAAACTCTCTATCACTGAGCTACATCCCTAATCCTTTTTATTTTTTAAGATAGGATCTCCTAAATTGTCCAGTATGATCTTGAATTTCTAATCCTTCTCCCTCAGCCTCATGAGCAGCTGAGATTACATGCATGCACCACCATGCCTGGAAGTAGTTAAGTTTAGGGGGAGTCAAGTTATACTTGAATTTTTAACTGTTCATGGGTTGGGGTCCCTATTCCAGTGTTGCTCAAGGGTCAACTGTATTTACTTTGGCTAATTCTATGCAATGTTAGGTTGAAATGGTAGTATTACTTAGCAAATTTTTTAGTAACTTTTACCTTTGTGTGTATTCTACAGCCCAAGTCCGTCATTGTTGGATTAATTAAAGAAATGATTGCCAAGTTTCAAGAGGAACTTCCCCTATATTCTCTATCATCATCTGATGAAGCACGGCAGGTAGACATGCTAGCCTATATTGCAAAAATCACTGAAGGTTTGTATTTCTGTCAGATTGTTTTAAAAGTTATGAGTTTACAATTTCTTACTAATGACCTTTACTCTCTGCTATTTTAAATACATATGGACATTTATATGTATATTTTTGTGTTCAATTAAAAATCCTATACATATATAATAAAGTTCCATAATGTTTCTTAAAATATATAAAAAAAATTTACTCTTTTATGAACAGGTAAAATAGTTTTTGTTTCATTCAAAAACACTTGATATATAATAATCATCCCAAATCTTTTTTGTTATGTGTTTATGTAGTTCTTGTTTCATTCAGAATACTAGATCAGAAGATCTATAATTCTCAATGTTTCTTATTGAGAATAAAGTCACATATTCATGATTGGAAAATTTCAGTAGGCTACTAAACCTTTGTATTTTTTTTTAGTCTTATACAATATTTTTTTAAATATTTGGAAAGACACTTTCTTTTTAAAAGGATAGCCTCCATTTACTAGAATATTTAAAATAAGACTCATMTTTTTTATCAGTACAAGTATTACTAATTTAATGTAAATGTACAATTTACATTAGAAATGCATATACTTTAAATGTGTGATAAAATTTGACTGTTTGATTTACCTTTGTAGCTATTACCAAAAACAATATGTAAAATCCATTCTTACATTTTTAGTTAATAGCTCCTCTTCTATAAGAAACTCTGATTTTTATAAGTCTTCTTTCATGTATTTATTTTTTTCAATAAGTATTTTTAAAAATTTTGTACACAATATCTTTATTTATTTATTTTTATGTAGTACTGAGGATTGAACCCAGTGCCTTATGCATGCAAGACAAGTGCTCTCCTGCTGAACTACAATCCCACCATTCAACAATTATTTTTAAGTGCTTATTGTGGACTAACACCATGTTTTCTAAGTAACTGAAGTTTGGCGTTTTTTTAATTTTGGGGTTTTTTTTTTTTGTTTGTTTAGTAATGGGAATTGAATCAGAATCACTTTACCACTGAGCCACATCCCCAATCTTTTTAATTTTTATTTTGAGACAGGGTCTTGACAAGTTGCTTAAGGCCTCACTCAGTTGCTGAGGCTGGCTTTGAACTTGCAATCCTCCTGCCTCAGCCTCCTGAGTGACTGTAGTTTTTTTTATTGTTGTTGTTTTTATGTTATCTGTGTATGGAGGTGCACATTTGTAATCCCAGTGATTCAGGATTGCCCAAGGGATAGCGGGGGGAGTTGATGTGATTTTTTTTTTTTTTTTTCATTCTCAGCATCATCCACTTTTCTTGATAGGTGTCTCAGACATAAATTCAAAGAGTTGGACAAATTATGATATTAAACCAGTCAATAAAATTACTGTGGTTGGAAATGGAGAGTTGGGTATTGCCTGCATCTTAGCAATTTCAGCAAAGGTATGTAAGCATAGTGGTTATAAATACATATATCATAGTGCTACACTTTTAGGCAGTTTTATTAACATTCAAAAAATAATGGTTTGGCTCGGCACAGTTGTAATCAAGCAACTGGGGAGGCTGAGGCAGGAGGATCACAAGTTCAAGGCCAGCTCAGCAACTTTGTGAGGCCCTAAGCAACTTATTGAGATCCTGTCTCAAAATAAAAAATAAAAAGGTCTGGGGTGTAGCTCAGTGGTAAAATGCTCCTAGATTCAATCCTATACCACACAAATAAATAAATAAAAATTTTAAAAAGTAATGGCTTCATTTTGTTATGTAGGAAAACCTCATTTTGCCTGAAAATATATTTTGTGACAAAAAAATAGCTGAAAGTTCTCATCAGTCATGTTGCCTCTTAATTAGTGTAAGTCATGGGTAGGCTTTGAAAAAGTAATTTGAATAATGGTGTCTTCCTAATCTAAGGGAAACCTCAAAGTGACATTCCTCTGACTTAGACACAGATTATTTTGTGATTTTTGAGTCATGGTGTTTTAATTAAATTCTTATTTAATATTATATTTAATTTTAGCTATTTATAAAATTACCATTTTTAAAAAAGGACTGCCTTTTCTTATATAATTGCTTTCTTTTGGGATCAGACTTTCTGAGTTAATATGTTACATTAGTTTATGTTTTGTTTTGTTTATATTCCTGTCAGTTCTTTTTTCTAAGTCTTTTCTAATTGTTTACATAAAGATCTAACTCCCAGTGAGGTAAAACAACTATCATGGTGATAGCATATCTGTAGTCTAGAAAACAGCTGTCACTCACTATATGTTTATTTAGTGACTGTTTTTCTTTTTCTATAAAGTTTTTCTATTAAAATTTGATTATTTTGATGTCTAAATTCCTCCTTTTCCATTTAAGACTCACATATATCTTGAAGGTAGGTTCTATTTCAGCAAATAATCAAGTTAGAATAATTTTAAAGTTGACTGTTCAGAATAGCATATGCTGAATTTTGGCATATTATAGTTTCATTTTCCTTACCTGTTTTCCTCATCTGAGTACACTGTTAACTCTTAATTGGAATTTGAGTTGTTTTTACTTCTTTTGTTACTAAATAAAATACTTTTTATTTATTTTATAAAGTAATGTAAAAGAAAATAAATATATAAAATACTTCTTACATTACTTTGTAAGTTGCTTATTTTCTGACTTTCTTTTGGGTATACATCATCTCAAAAATAATACTAGTGAGTCAGAGGGTATGGATTGTTTTATGGCACTCTTATATTAGTAGACTGCTCCTCAGAAAGGCAGAACTAATTTATGCTGCTAAGAATAATGCATATGTCAACTGCTTTTTGACATCCCTACGGTATTAAGTTTTATTAATTTGGGAGAGGGGGCAGAGCTGCTGGGGATCAAACCCAGGAGTACTTTGGYACTGAGCTATATCCCCAGCCCTTTTTATTTTTTATTTATCTTGAATAAGGGTCCTGCTAAGTTGCTTAGGTTCTTACTAAGTTTCTGAGGATGGCCTTGAATTTGTGATCCTCCTGTTTCAGCATCCCAAGTGGCTGGGATTACAACAAGTGTAATTAATTTTTTTTTTTTTTTGGTAATAATTTGACTTTTTTTGTTAAATACAGGTAGGTACCTTTTAAAAGTCATGTTTCCTTAACTGTTAGAAGAGTCATTTGTCTGTTAACTGTCTAGGTAAAACATTATTTTTTCCTTTTTAAACATCAGCATTTTGATACAAGGTATAATATTTAAATAATATATCAATAATAGCAGTCCAATAGTGGCAGTAGTAGTAGTAGTGATAGTAACAGCAGTAACTAACCTTTACTAAATGCTTACTAGATGCCAGGCACTTGTCTAAACACTTGTCTTGATTCATTTTTACAGTGACCCTATTGTTTAGATGCTATTGTTTTCACCATTTTACAAATGAAGAAACCAAGGTTCTGGGAGGTTACCCACTTGCCCTAAGTCACACTATTAATAAATGGTGTCACCAGGATTTGAGAACAGGTTGTCTGTATACCAGAACCTGTATTCTAGATCCTTACTGCTCAAAATATGGCTTTCAGACTAGCAATACTGGCATTTCCTAAGATTTTGTTAGAAATCCATAATTCTACTTCTAATTCTGCATTTTAATAAAACCCCTGGTGATCCATATGCTTTACTGATTCATTATAAAGCTTGAGAAGCTCTTCTCTAAGCCACTATATTATACTGCTTTATGATAATTGCCCTCCCCTACTGGGATTGAACTCAGGGATGCTTTTCCACTGAGATCATCTCTAGCCCTTTTTCTTTAAGACTTTTTTTTAGTGTGAAACAGGGTCTCATTAAGTTGCTGAGGGTATCTCACTAAATTGCTGAGGCTGGCCTTGAACTTGTGATCCTCCTGTCCCAGCCTTCCAAATTTCTGGGATTACAAAGTACCTGGCAAGAGTCATGATGAATATTTTAGTTTTTTTTAGTCATTTGAATATTCTTATACATAATATATAATTTTTTACATATGCTAATAAACTTGTAGGATAATTCCTATAAATGAGATTGATGGATTAAAGGAACTATTAAATTTAGATTTTAAAATATTTTAAATTTTTGAAAGAAGTTGTCAAATTATTCCCTGTATCAGTTGTATTAGTTTATTCTCACACCTACACTGTATGAGAATACCTGTTTTCCCACAACCTCTATTGTTAAACTTTTGGGCCTTAGTGTGTCTGATAAATAAAAATGGAAATGCTAGTTTTCCTGGCATTTTCGTTGTGAGTGTGGTTAAAAATAAAAAAATTAATAGCTACAATTTAGAGAGGACTACTATGTATGTCAGTCCTATTATCAATCATATAGTCATATAATCAATCTTATAACCACATGCAGTAAGACTTGAGTTCAGTGACTGTCCTAGTGTTACAAAGCTCACATATAAAATAGTAGAGTTGTTTTCTTAACCATTTTTTTGCCTGAAAGTCTGGTAGATCTCTGGATACTTTTGCCCATGAACTCTTAGGTTTTCCTACTACTTTGGAGAAAGCCCTTCCACAAATATTAACTAACTCTTGGAGTTTCCATGCTGTTATTTACAGTCAGCCCACCAGGCCATCCAGGGAGCCATTATTAGGCATGTGGAATATTCCATGAGCTCTCTGAGGAGGGTACCACATGATAGTACAATTTGACTTTAGATTTATGGCTATTTTTTTTTCCTTTTTGATTCTGGGAATTGAATGCAGGACACTCAACCACTTCCACGTCCCCATCCTTTTTCAAAAAATATTTTTGATTTAGAGACATAGTCTTGCTAAGTTGTTTAGGGCCTTGCTAAGTTGCTGTGGCTGGCTTTGAACTTGTGATCCTCTTGCCTCAGCCTCCCAAGCTGATTATTTTTTTTTTTTTAAGCAAAAGCTGGAATAATTTTGACTTTCATGCTAGGAATGAAGTGCTAAAATAGGCCCCCAAATCATTCTAAACATTTCAGAATTGAAATTATGATACAGAATGAAAACAAACTCAGGAACAATATCAAACTTGCTGAGTGAACCAAGTAATCTTTATTATTCATCCTATAAGAAAACTTCTGCAATCTATAAGGCATCTAAATTTACTCCTTTTAGATCCTTTTAGATCCAATAGTTATGCCCAAGGGATCACATGAAGTCCATAATAACTTCTTGATTGCATGTCACTTTTATTACAATTGTGTTACTTATCTATTTTTTTTAGCCATATCCCCACTCCCCCTTTTTTTTAAATGTTGAAAGTGCATCTCATTGAGTTGCTGAGGCTGTCTTCAAACTTGCGATCCTCCTGCCTCAGCCTTCCAAGCCATTGGGATTACAGGCATGTGCAACCACCCCTGGCTTTACTTACTCTTCTTCAGATGACACAAGCCCTCACTTCTTAATTAAATTGAGTAATTGGTCCTGTCCAATGTAATATGTTTCCCTTTCTTACTATACCTTACAGGGCATTGCAGACAGGCTAGTCCTTTTAGATCTCTCAGAAGGAACAAAAGGTGGAACCATGGACCTTGACATATTCAACCTGCCTAATGTGGAAATCAGCAAAGGTATGGTTATTCTGCCTAAAAATGTTTGCTTTACTTGCTCTTATATTTGAGTCTAAGAATTAGCACTGGGAATTTAACTCAAGGCCTCTCATATGCTAGGAAAGCAATGAGTTCTACCTCTAGTCTTTTCCATTTTTGAGACAGCATCTGCCTGGCTGGCATTGAACTTGTGATCTTCTTGTCTTACCCTCTTGAGTAGCTGTGATTTCAGGTATGTGCCACCATACCTGGCTTAAGTTCTGGAATTTGAAAGCTGAAAAATACCTTCAAGATTAACTAGTACAAGCCTCTCATTTTTTTTTTCCTTTTTAACAGTGGGATTTGTTATAATATATACAAGCTCCTCATTTTGTCACAAGAAGTGTCTCTGAAAAAGGGTCCAAGAAGTTCATGGAGAAAGGGAAACTTGACTCAGGACCAGTGGGGTTTTGGGCATATGTTATGGAAAAGAATTAAAGCACATGCCACTCAGGCATAGAGAGAGGTTTATTTAGGAAAGATACATAATTAAGGGAAATCTCAAGAGAGAGACACTTATGTGGGTAAAGCAAGGCATATGCCCTCAAGGGAGAATGCAGGTCTTTTTAAGGAYGAGAAATGCAGTTTTGGTGCTACGTTTTAAGGAAACTTGGTGAGGGGTGGGTATGGAAAAGTATATAGGAATGATATCAATCCAGTGATCTCAAGACAGTTTCTAGTAGTCTGATATGTATCAGGATCCTTAGGCTGACATGGTCTTTATTATCTGATCAATAGTGCTAAATTATGGGTTCCTCAAGACATTATATCTCCTCCCCCCTCCCCTTTGCCTTCCTCCTTATTCTCTTCTCTCTCCCCCACCCTCTCCCTCATCCCCCATCTTTACCTCTCTCCTTATTCTATTATTGAGGGTTTAATTACAGTGCACAAGTAAATTTACAGACTTCCCAGGAATTTAGGAGTAATAGGTGTGGAAGGAAGACTGGCTTGGGGAGTTATAGGCCTGGAAAAGTATGCAGAACTTTTGAACCAAAATCTTATTTTCTGGTTCTTCCTTTATGACTTTTTGCCTATTTCCTATTCCTTCTATCCTACCTCAACTTTATGCACTGGGAAACAAAGATTCAAATAAGTTAAGTAACTTGTACAAAATCATACAGATCATAAATGATTATGTTAACAGAGTCAAATGAGCAAATAACATCCAGATTCATTCACAGTGGCCATAAGAATTTGTTATTTGACTTATATTTCCACATGAATTTGTCTTTTGATTGCTTCCTTTCTCAGAACATATTGGTTTAAAGCACTGATCTTAGTGTTAGACAGTGGTTTGCATCTTAGCTCTGCTATATTAGAGCTCTGATGTTTGTCAGATTATACAATCTTTCAAAAAAATTCAGTTTTCTCATGTGTGAAGTAGGAGACTAGGAATATAGCTCAGTGGTAAAATGTTTACCTAGCATGCATACGGCCCTGAGATCAATCTCTAGCCCTGAAAAAATAACTGAAAATTTCAACAGTTATTTTTTTCTATCWAATTTTTCCCCCTTTGGAGATGGGGGTCTCACTGTGTTATCCAGACTAATCTAGAACCCCTGGGATGAAGCATTGCCTCAGCCTCTTGAGTAGCTAGAAATACTTGACTTCTCATACTTTATTTATTTATGTACCAGGGATTGAACCCAGGGGCACTTAAGCACTGAGTCACATCCCCAGCCCTTTTTTAAAATTTTAAGATAGCGTCTCATTAAATTGCTTATAGCCTCACTAAGTTGCTGAGGCTGCTTTGAACTTGCAATCCTGCTTCAGCCTCCTGAGTCACTGGGATTACCAGCATGCACCACTGTGCCTGGAAACTTTTCACATTTTAAATTTTAAAAAATTGAGTCTATTTTATAATGTCTATTATAAATTATAGGATACATTTGGATAGATAAATACTATATTTGGGAGTATTTGAAAMATTTTTTTTATTGAAAATTATCTTGGTTAATTGTGAACAGCTTTTTGTTAAAAACAACAAAGACAATAACAACAACAACAAAAAGCAATGCTTAAGTAGGACTAATGTGTTCATTTTTGTATGACATGCTTAAGTCATTTACACGGTATCTTTTCCCTTCTATTTTTATCTAACAGTCATGTCTCTCCTGGACCACTGTTGATTGAAAATTTTTTGAAAAAATATATAATATATAATAATATATAATGTAATGTATAATAATATATATAATTTATTTGAAAATAGTTTCCTACCAGGGATGCATGATTTAAGAGGACACCTGTAGTCCCAGTTGCTCAGGAGGCCGAGGCAAGAGGACCATGAGTTCAGAGCTAGTCTCAGCAACTTAATCAAGGTCTTAAGCAGCTAAGCAAGAAGACCCTTTCTCTAAATAAAATATTTTAAAAGGACTGGAAATGTACCTCAGTGGTTAAGCGCCCCTGGGTTCAATCCCTGGTACCAAGAAGAAAAAAAAGGTCATTGAAAGACACATTTTCTAAAATGTTTCTACCAGTTTATAGATCAGATCAGATTGTACATAGTATGTTTGGCTTGCTTTTGCCTTTACTTGGGTCGCCTGTATTTCTTTTTCTTTTTTTTTTTTTTTAAGAAAGAGTGAGAGAGAGTGAGAGAGAGAATTTTTTTAATATTTATTTATTTTTTTTAGTATTTGGCGGACGCAACATCTTTGTCTGTATGTGGTGCTGAGGATCGAACCCGGGCCGCACGCATGTCAGGCAAGCGCACTACCGCTTGAGCCACATCCCCAGCCCCGGTTCCCTGTATTTCTTGACTATGTTTTCCAAATAATGTATAAAAACACATAGTCTCACAAGCCTGAATGTACTAAGAATAATGGTCAGAAAAACTGAAATCTCTGTTCTTAATGAGTTCTAAAAATTGGGTGTTATAGTTCAGTAAACCTGTAGGAGCCTTGTAGGAGACAATGAGTTCATTTTGCTTCTCTGGAAAAAGTACTGTAGCTGCTTTAATAATCCTTTTGTAGGCCTCTTGTGGAGGATCATTTGGGAAACAGGGTATTCTCTTGTGTCAATCATTTCCAGGGAGTGAAGTTCTTAAGAGACTTCTTAACTCGTCCAAATCATTTTAGGAGACTGTTTAGTACATGGTCCCTAGAAGTTATGAGGCCATTTAGGACTTAAGGAAATTATTTCTTTCTGTGTGTCTCATTAACCATCAATAACTATTCCCTCAGATAATAGAAAGCACAGAAACAATGGAATAGATAGATAACGGATGGTGCATGCCACCAAGTGGGGACTCAGTAATTATCTATTGAATGTTGAATGAATATATATTATCTTGGGGCATGTTTTTCATGTTTTCCTAATTGATTTTGGTTGTACATTTCTGATGACATAACTTAATTACTAATACATGAAGCAATTTTAAATGTAATGGTAACTAACATCCCATAAATATATGGAGAAGTACATTAACAATGTGGGGAATTAAAGCTCAATTGGAAATTTTATTAACACCACACCATGACATTCATAGATGATTGCAAGTAACTGATTATCCATTAGTTGTACTTTGCCTCATTTAGTTTTTTCAAATAGCTACTGTAACATTTTGGAGAGATTATATATGATCATATAATACAAATATGTAGACACATACTTACACAAATAGTTATGCTCATGTATGCATAAACCAAATCAGGAAATACACTTAGAAGCTGGTAAGAGTAGTTGTTTTAGGAATTAGACTGTGGAATCTGGCTGCTCTGTTTGCACATAATTGTGTGTGTGTGTGTGTGTGTGTGTGTGTGTGTGTGTATTTATATATTTAAATCCGTTTTGTTGTGCTAAAATATACATAACATAAAATTACTATTAGTGACTTTTAACACTAATTCATAATGTGTATTCAGTAAATTCACAACATTGTGTAACTATCACCACTATTTAATTTCTAGAACATTTCATTACCCACAAAAGGAAATTCTATAGTACACAATAAGTAATTGCCTCTTATTTTCCCTCCTCTATCCCYTGGCAACTACTAATCTGCTTTCTGTCCCTATGAACTTACCTTTTCTGGATATTTTATATATACTTGTCCCTTGGTATCCTAACCCTTCTACTATTTGTGCTATATGTTGCTTAATGAGAAAAAATATCTCATTCACTTTTGTGTTCTTAGTACTATCTGTGCTTTTTGTAGGGGGGGGGTTATAAATTCGAATTAATTTTATTATGATCCTTAACCTTGTAATTTATATCATAGGTTTATAAATCATGCTTAAGGTTCTTCTTAATGATCTTCTTCCCATTATTAAATCATCAACTTCTAAGAAAAGACTTGATGAGTCAGATAAAAATCTTGGACTGCTTTCCAAGAGTAAAGAACTTGTTGCCTATGGAGCAGTTTACCAAAACCTGGCTGTGTATCCAGACTCATATGAAAGGTTGCATTCCTGGAAGCTCCCTTTATCTACTTAAATGAAATCCTCAGAAAATGAGATAATCTGCATTTTTATTAAGCTTTCCAGGTTCTTTAGAAGCACCGAGTCGAGCTTGTGAGGACTGCTGCAGGGAACTGACAGAAATGGAAGACTACATGGTCAAAAGCAGCTTAAAGTTTAGATGAAAAGACACACATGCAAGAAATAAATAGTAACTCATAACAAGAGTAAAGAAACAATATGTGATTAATTGTCGCAAGAACTGTCCAGACAGTAAAGACTCTTGGAGTTAAGTGGAGAGAATTACTTTAGCCTGAGTAAGACTGAGATATGTGCCAGGTTATGATTTCATAGACTGGGGAGATTTGGACAGAGAGGTAGAGGAAACTGTACCAACTGCTAAGCGACTAGATCTGAGAGTTGCAAAAATTAAACACAACTCAGTTCTCACAGAATGATAGCAATGTTTGGTGTAATAGTCACATAAAAGCACATCAAACATGTGGTAAATACAGTGAGAAACATTTCAGATGGAAAGAATTTGAGCAAAAGCCATCATCAGGAAAATGAAAAAAATGCTTTGAGGAATGACTATAAGATCAGTAGAGTTTGAGCCAAAAGGTTATATAAAGAATACTTAAATATACTGTCTTTTAAACTCAAGATTAAAAGGCTTGGGATCTTAATCTATGGAGCAGGAGACCTTTCTTGTCCTTTTCAAATCCTGTAGACACCAACTACTTTTGTGTACTTGTATGTCAACCATGAGGGTGAGGGCATTTCTGTTATTTAAAGTAGAGGAATCAGCCAGGTGGGGTGGCACATGACTGTAATCCTAGTGACTCAGAGGCTGAGGCAAGAGGATTACAAATTTGAGGCCAGACAGCAATTTAGTGAGGCCCTAAGCAACTTAGGGAGACCATGTCTCAAAATAAAAAGGGCTGCGGATGTGGCTCAGTGGTAAGTACCCCTGGGTTCAAACCCTAGTACAAAATAAATAAAGGAAGCTAAAGGAGGAAAAGAAATATAATTCTGGCAAAATAGTTTAGGGGCTAGATTATAAAGTTGTAAATTGAACTGCTCGCTGGTTTTTAATATGGAGAAAGCTACCATGTACCAGTTTCCTCATCGTTTATGAGAATGTAGGACTATTTTTAAATATAGTCTGTTTACTGGCATCTGAAGCCAGATTATCTGGGCTTGAATTCTGGCTCCTCTACTTACCAGTTTTATAACTTTAAGCAAATTACTTAACTTCTCTGGGCCTCAGATTACCCATCTATAAAATGAGGGTAATAATGCCCATTCTGTATTGTGGACTAGATTAAATAAGTAACTGTATGGAAAGTTGTTAGACCATTACCTGGCACATAGTTGATGGTATGAAAGGTATTCCTTCCAGTTCTTTAGGTTTTGTTTCATGACCAGGTATCCGTTCTAAACCCTAGAACACAGGAATTACTTAAGAGGATTCAATGTCAGAATCTGAGCTTAAACTGGGTAAAGTATTTCCCAGTGGACACATTATACAAGAATTTCCTTCTGAAACTACTTTAGAAAGATGGCCTAAGAGAAAGATCCTTTTTCAAAACAAAAAATAAAAAGTTGCTAAGAATATAGCTCATAGACCTAGCAACGCTGGGTTCAATCTCTCACCACAAAAGAAAGAAAAAAAAAAGAATATTAATTCTGGGAACTACTGTCCCCTGGATGCTAATATTCATTTACAAATGTTGATTAGACTCATGCCTTTTTATTTTATTGTTTTTCTGTTGTTTCTGATAATAACAACTGGCCACTGTTTTGGCATGCACTCACTGTAAAATACWCAGTGAAGTAGAAAATATAGTTGTAAAATAGCATATTTGTGCTTGAGAATCAGAGGAAGGAACTCCATAGGCCAGCTTTTTCCCAAGTCATAACTGTTGCTTACCTGTAGGTTCCATTAAAAGTAGTTGTTACCCAAAAACAGCTGGATTTAAGTATAAAAACGTTAAAAATGAGCCAAAGCCAGGTGCAGTGGTACACACCTGTAATCTCAGCTACTCTGGAGGTTAAGGCAGGAGGATCCATAAGTTGGAGGCCTGCCTTAGCAATTATCAAGATCTTATTTCAGAATGAAAAATAAAGGGCTGATGACCTGGTTTAATCCCCAGTGATGGATGGATGGATGGATAGATAAAATAAAAACTTTTAAAAAGGGTTGGGGGATGTAATTCAGTGGTAAAGTACCTCTGGATTTAATTCACAGAACTGGGGAAGGAAAAAAAAAGAATGGAGATATTTTAATTTAGAGATTTTCAAACCAGTTTTTTGGTTTTTAAAGTAGAATCCTTAATAAATAAAACAGATCAAAGCAGCACTGCTGTGCTTGGAGAAGCCAAATAAAGTGGCCTAGAGTCTTCCCAGATGGCCTCTGAGTCATTTTCAAGAAATTTTAGGACCCCTAAACTCAGTTTAGAAGTAAGTTAACTGATTGTAATTTCATTTTGCCTACAGCATATTATTCATTTTCCTTAAAATTTTGTGAATTGCATATAAAACTCAATCTATGTGACTGTTCTTGGTCCTATAATTTTGTTTATCTTAATTGCTGTCCCCTCCTCCCTCCCTACTTGGGATATACTCTAGTTCTTAACYTTCAGCATTTTGCACTGAATGCTGTACAGTAGGATTGGAAAGTAGGATTGGTCTGGAGGCAGATCAATGCCTAAAAGTTCTGAATTTGTAGAAAAGAAAAAAAATTTTTATTATGGACTAGAACTCGTTTAAAGCCTGTATCTTGAACTCAGACTGTTTCTTTTTATTCATTAGATTTGTCTGCCTCTGCTCATTCCAAGGTGGTGATCTTCACAGTCAACTCTTTGGGTAGTTCTGAGTCTTATGTTGATGTTGTACAGAGCAATGTGGATATGTTCAGAGCCCTTGTCCCAGCTCTGGGACATTACAGTCAACATGGTGTTCTGCTCGTTGCATCTCAACCAGGTAAAAAGTTTTATTTTAAATTAATTTGATGGTTTAATATATCAGTAGAACTCCCATTACTGATAAAAGCCATAAAACTTTAGATTATAAAGGAAAGGATAGAATATTCAGTAAATGGCTCTTTTAGTTAACAGTATAGTATTTCTACATACTATCAGTTGTTTGTTATGATTATCATTAATCAAAAGATTACAACTTAACAATGTTTTATGAAATATGATATTGGGTTCCTGTTGTTAGTCATATCTTCCTTAGTGAGAAAATGGTTAACCTCCTGCCCTTGCCCCAAGAAAAATGCAGTGACTTATGTGAAACATTATAACTCTGAAGTATTATAAAATGTTAGTAACATCTCAGAGTGCATTTTTCACTTTTTATATTTTATAAATTGTTTTGAAAGTGTTTTACTTGAAAAAGAAATATTTTCAAGGCGTTAGGTGTTATTGAACTCAAATTGATGAACAGACATTTTAGTTCCCAGTACAGGGTTATGGTATGTATTTCACTTGTTTTTCTAAAGCAGTTGGTGGAGGGACATTGGAGGGACATTTCTGACATCCTTTTGGCATGTACAAAAAAAAAAGAGTTGTGTTTTTGTTTAGAATACTATACTGAATAGTAGTAGTTTTTTAATTGATATTTTCATTTAAAAATAGAAACTCAGCTTAAAATAGATACAGAAAAATTTTATTAGTTAAATGAAATGATTACTTTCTATATTCAGTTTTGTTTTCTTTTTTTTTTTTTCCTAAATATTCTAGGAAATTATATGTTCCATCCTAACAATTTAATATGTAAGAACAAAGTTGTGTAAAGTCTTTGAAACCTGGTTAGTGTATTTAGAAAATATATATTTATGCCTCAATGCATTTAGGATCTAAGAAGAATATATAGAAGCTCTAATATACCTTGGTTATTATAATAATAAATATTTTATTTGTGAACTAGACTCAAAATGCATAGTTTTAAATCTTTATATTTTTCACCTTGTATGTGACATTTAGTGGAAATCATGACCTATGTGACATGGAAACTGAGTACATTTCCTGCATATCGAGTGATTGGAATTGGATGTAATCTTGATTCACAGAGATTACACTATATTATTACAAATATCTTGAAAGCACAGACTTCAGGCAAAGAAGTTTGGGTTATTGGTGAGCAGGGAGAAGACAAAGGTAAGAAATACATTTTTTTTAGTTACATTGATAAATCACCAGTGTCATGACAGTTGGATATATCTGGGGACTTTAGAATTATGGAGCTTTTTTGACTTTTGTTTCACATTTGAGTGCTTTCTGTATTTTGGGCCCAGTATTATAAATAGACTCTTCATGTGTGTCATTGTCCTTCTAATTACTTTTCCTTAAGTGTAAGATTAGGCAAGATCTGTTAGTAAGGTTTTATAATTTCTTTTATTGCATTTCAGAGTCCCAGGACAAATTTAAAAGTTTAATTTTCCAGAAAAAGACATTTAAATATATTTAAAACATTTATAAAACCCTTCTCCATCACTCATCCCAACYTCCAATCGTACTTATGTTTCCTAAATTTAAATCTTCTCCCTATAGGCAAAGGCACATAAAGTATGGCATGTTCATGGGATTAAAAAAAAAAAATCTGGACTATTTGTTGCAAAGAGTTTTAACCAGGTCAAGCTGGTTGAAATCATATTTTGGAGATCTCTGAATACCTGATCAACAAATTGGAAGGTGAATCTCTGGCAAAGGGAAACCATGAGAATGAAATGTTGAAATGGTACTCTATTTAGCAGAGGTGTTGTAGGTAGAGCAAGGCATAGAAAATAACCTTTCTTCCTGTGGGCAGGCAATCATTTAACTGAAGAACTGGAGAAAAACCATGTATGTTAAAAGTCAGATATTAAACCATGGTGCCATAAAGCAAATTGTCTTCTCTAAACTATTTTCTTGGAATATAAACTCTGTATCTGCTTTGATGCCATTAAAACAAAATTACTGACAGTGGTGACAGCTAGGTTAGAGGTAACTTTTAAACATTTATACTTTTCTTTATTTTCCAATTTAATCATTATAGATATAAAGGATTTATGTAATTTTAAAGAAAAATTTAAAAATAAAATACAGCAGTATCTTAAATCTGTGTAAATCTGTACTAGCTACCTATAAAGTTCAGTGCTATAATGAATCAGGCTAAAGAATAAACCTTAAAAAAAATTCTAACAGTGTGATTGAACAGAAATGGTTTTTAGAGCTGGGGATGTAGCTCAGTGGTAGAATGCATGCATGGGGCTCCAGGTTCCATTCCTAATACCACACACAATAAATAAATAAATAAATAAATGGGAAGAAAAGAAAGGGGAAAAAAGGAGAAAGAGGAAGGGAAGGATGGATTAATTTTCAGGCTCCACAGTTGTTTCCTGATACAAAATACTAAACGATAGATTCCTCAAAAAGGGTAGCAAACAAGAACTTGGAGTAGATGTATTGAGTAATGAATGTATGGGGATTCAAACAAACCCGAGACCCTGAATTTTACTCATTAACATTGACATTCTGGTCCATGTTGATCTCTTGTTTGCTGATCAATCTGTACTCAGTTAAGGCATTACCAGTACCACTGAAGCTATCTACCTATCTACCTAAGTACTTTTCCCTAGTCTACTTCCTTGCTTGCCATCTAGTGGTAACATGAGACCACTATTTTGGGTTTTGTCTTTTGCTTTTTATGGTACTAGGAATAGAACCCAAGACCTCACACCACTGAGGTACACCCCTAACCCTTGGGTTACTTTTAATCCTGTCTTCTCTCTTGCTTCAAAGACATTTATCCTGTAGATCAGTATACTTACTGGCCTTAATGTGAGCAATCCACAAGATACTTCTGGAAAAATATACCCTGACTCTCTAACAGCTGTAGAAATTCAATCCCAAAATAGAAGGTTTCCAAAGGTGGAAGGAATTAGTCTCAGTGCAGTTCCCAGCAGAACAAATGGCAAGTGCTTGCAACATTTASAAGCCTATTATATGCAGCCTTCTGAGGAAACAGTGCTTTCTACTCCTACAGTGAAACAGCAATTCTAGTGCTGTTATTGATAAGAAGAGGTAAGGAGGCTACAAGTAAACTTTAAAGATCATATTTCTTGGGGATTGTAGTTCAAAATCTTTTCTCATCCTTTGTAATTAGTACAGCAAATGCAGTGCAATCAATAGAAAAATAGCTATTGCTAGAGAAGGAAAAAACTTGTATTGAAAAGACTAATACAAGTACTCTTCCCTAAAAAAGATTATTTGTACACTTTACTCCTTAGACAAGCATTGGCAAAATATAACTAATTCTTCATTTAATTTTTAGTGCCCATGTGGAGTGACCAAGAAATGAGTCATAGCTCTCAGGTGCAGCTGTCCAACAGGTAACACACTGTAAATCTGTACCTGASTAAAAATTATGTACTTCATAGCTAATATAATAGCTATTTACATAGCTATCAAGCTTCTGTAAACAAAGCTAGCTATAGTATGGACAAATCCAAAAGCATATGGGAGCAGAACCCTGGTGTGGTGGCACACACCTATAATCCCAGCAATTTAGGAGATTGAGGCAGGAGGATTGCAAATTTAAGACCAGCCTCAGCAACTTAGTGAGATCTTGTCTCAAAATAAAAAGGGGTGCTGGAGTTGTGGCTCAGCCGTAGAGCACTCGCTCAGCACATTTGAGGCCCCGGGTTCCATCCTCAGCACCACATAAAAATAAATAAATAAATAAAATAAAGGTATTGTGTCCAGCTACAACTAAAAAAAAAAAAAAAGGGTTGGGGATGTGGCTCAGTAATTAAACATCTCTGGGTTCAATTCTGGTCATGCCCCTCCCCCCAAAAGAAACTATAATGGAGCAGTATTTTATTTTATTTTGCTTTTTAATTTTTTAAAATAATTATTTTATAGTTGGACACAATACCTTTTTTTCACTCATTTATTTTTTACGTGGTGTTGAGGATCCAACTCAGGGTCCTGCGCGTGTGAGACGAGCGCTCTACTGCTGAGCCACAACCTGAGCCCCGGAGCAATATTTTATAGTTTTTGGTTTCTTTTTGTTTTTTTTTTTTAATCTTTGGTTTCTTATCTGAAGAGTGTTTTGCAAACTTTGCAAACTCTTCAGATAACACAGTTGACATTTAAAGGGTATAACATATTCCTTATTTGTAAACAGTGATTTATTTCTCTCATATCTAAACATATGAGGATATTAGCAATTTCCTTACAAGAGTTCATATAACTTAAAAATTTTCATGTATTAATCATACATAAATACACTTGAAAATCAGTGTAATATGAATAAATAATATGTTCAGGAGGAAAAAAAATAATTATAGGTCCTTGTATCTTTCACTTTTGTTTGGAAACCTTTTGAGAGTCAAGCCCCATAAAGTTGGACTTTATACACTATATATTTTCATACCATCACATAATAACAATTTTTCCTGAAGTCCAAGTGGGAGTGACTTTTGTTTTTTAATTTTTAATATTTTTTTCAATGCCCCCCATTTCACAGACTCCCTTGGGACAAAGGGATTTTAGTATTTTTTTTTTAATATATATTTTAGTTATAGTTGGGCACAATATCTTTATTTTATTTGTTTATTTTTATGTGGTGCTGAGGATCGAACCCAGCACTTCGAATGTGCTAGGTGAGTGCTCTACCACTGAGCCACAACCCCAGCCCTATTTTTTTTTTTTTTTTGTACTGTAGTAACTAAAGATTGATCCCAGAGGTGCTTTTGAACTGGGTACATTCCCAGCCCTTTTTTAAATTTTGAGACATAGCTCACTATGTTGCTGGCCTCAAACTTGTGATCTGCCTGTCTCAGCCTCCCAAGTTGCTGGGATTACAGAACTATACCACCACACTGAGCAGGATTTTAGCTTTTAAACTTTCAGTTTATGTTTTTTAGAATATAATGACTGGAATTTCCTCCTTATTTAGAAGATTAGTGTGATATGATTCATTCTAATTTGATTATATAATCTTAATTTATAGATTTTTATTTGTTTGGTGGTTCTGGGTATTAAACCCAGGGCCTCAATCTGCTAAGCATTTATTTACACTACCACTAAGCAATATTCCTTGCAGTTTATCATTTTTGTGGTATGGGGGATGGAATGCAGGGGTGCACTACTGTTGAGCTACATCCAGCCCTTTATATTTATTTATTTTATTTTGAGACACAGTCTCACTATGTTGCTGAAGCTGGCCTCAAAGTTATGATCACCCTGCCTCAGCCTCCCAAGTAGCTAATATTACAGATATGCACCACCATGCCCAGCTCCTCCCTATACCTTTTGAAAGGAATAAATTTAAATGATTGTTTAATTTATATGGTTCTTTTAACAAAAATAACATATGCTTATTATAAAACTTCAAATACTACAGATATTTATAAAGTAGAATGTAAAGAGCTGGGGTAAATCTATCTTCCAGAGAATTTTAGTGTCCAGTTTTTTTTAATGCTTCTACAAATATATTATTATTATTTTTATAATAGACTTATGCTACTTACACTGTCTTGGAAATTTATTTTAAAAAATAAATTTGTGATATTTTYCCATATTATACATGACAATCTAGTATCTAATTTTTCAGGGGTCTTTTTGGTAGGATGTTATTTTTCCAGTACTGGGCACTGAACCTGGGGTGCTTTATCACTCAGCTACATTCCCAGCCCTTCTAAATTTTTTTTTTTTTTACTTTGAGACAGGGTCTTGCTAAGTTGCTGAGGCTGGCCTCAAACTTGCAATTCTCCTGCCTCAGCTTCCCGAGTCAATGGAATTACAGGCGTATACCACTGGCTACCTATTCTTAAGAATAAAAGCTATATGATACTACATTTGGTAATAATTTATTTATTTATTTATTTTTTAATATTTTTTAGTTTTAGGTGGACACGATATATTTTATTTTTATGTGGTGCTGAGGATCAAACCCAGTGCCTCATGCATGCTAGGCATTCTACCACTGAGCCACAACCCCAGCCCGGTAATGATTTATTTAACGGTCCCCTTTTGATGAGTTGTTTCCAAATACAGAAAACATGTTTATGTGTATATCTTTACACATTTGAGTATATTACTATAGGATAAATTCCTAGAAGAATAATTTTTAGATCAGATGTTGCCAAATTTTTCTAAAATCTTAGATCACTTTATACTCTCAACAGTAGTTATAGGAATGCCTATGTATAGCTTCTTCAAATTTAGTTATCAGACTTTTAATCTTTGCCAGGGGTAATAGGCAAAACTGGTATTTATTGTTTTAATTCCTAATTAGTTAAATCATCAGGGTGGTGAGAATCTTTTAAAGCATCTGTATGTTCTCTCTGTGAACTATGAATCTGACATTTTAAGGAAAGCTTAAATAATCATTCAATTATCTGAAAGCCTTCCTAAAACCACTGCTGTATAACTCTTATTTCTGTGCATAAAAACACCTAGTTAATGCCTTMAACAGAATGTAAAACTAAATGGTGAATATTTTTTGCATTTTCTAAGGTCTTTTTTTGTTTTGTTTTGTTTTGTTTTTTGTAATCTAGAGCCATGGAACTATTAAAGGTAAAAGGTCAAAAATCCTGGTCTGTTGGACTATCTGTAGCTGACCTGGTCGACAGTATTGTAAACAATAAAAAGAAAGTACATTCTGTATCAATTTTAGCAAAGGTAATGGTTATTCTCATTGTCTCATATTTTAAACTTTCATATTAATAATATAAAACCAGCAAAACTGTTGTTCACACTCTAATGCAGGTGTCTTCAATGTCACCAGCTTTCAGTGTAAGATGTTGGAGGAGGCACTTCAGCCTAAGCCCTATGCTATTTAACTGTGAGAAGTCTGGATCTCTACCAGGTTGTCCTCTCACCCTCATGTAATTTTTGGGAATCTCCAAGCAGTGTTTATATATTCCATAAACAACTTCTGGTTGTTATTTATTACATGAGCCAGCCACATCACCTCAAACTGATGTGCCAACTTGTCTCAGCTAGTTATCAGTCTGTTTCTCYAACTGTCTGTCTTTTGCTGCTTTTACCCAGAGCATAAATTCCCTAGAGTATAGCTAAGATGAAACACAAATACTTAATCACTTTCGTGAAGACTTAGAATACCCGGACCGAAATACAATATGGAAAAGAAAATTTAAAAAAGGTTACTGTATTGTACCCAGATTCCATGGGATGTCCCTCTCCAAGGAATCTACTTTGTCCATCTTTTTCTTATGATATGACCTTTTTTTTTTTTTTGCAGTGATTCACTTCTATTATAATCCCTATATTTTTCATTTTAGGGATATTATGATATAAATAGTGAAGTGTTTTTAAGTTTACCTTGCATCCTTGGAACTAATGGAGTATCTGAAGTCATTAAAACCACAGTGAAGGAAGACACAGTGACTGAGAAACTCCAAAGCAGTGCATCCTCAATCCATGGTCTCCAACAACAGTTAAAACTTTGACTCTCAAACACAGTTACCTGAAAGAAAAGATCATTTAATTTTGCCAACATATATTAGATTTGAGTATGTCTGTGTCTTATTTATCTTACAAACTGCTTGGTTAAGGTAGATGGTTTCTTGGTTAGCTTTGTCATTTGATCCTGAAGGAGTTAGATAAGGAAGGAGAAAAAAATCTAATTTCATTCGGGATTCTTAACATATCTATACTGTTCTTTAAGTTACAACAAGGACAAACATGCATCTGCAGTATGTAATATTTTAAATTATGTACCCCAAACTCAAAGCACATTAATCACTTTGGAGATATACTGAAAGAAATGCATTTTATAAAGGTTACCTTTTGACATTTATAATAAATATGATAACCTAAAGATCCAGAATGGGCCTTATTTATAAAATCTGTGCTAGGTGCATATTCAAAAGATTGATAGTTTAATGTTGGTGTTCTTTTGCAAAATACGGTTGGTAATAATGGTAAGACATTTTCTTTTCCTTTTCAAATTCATTAGCTACCAGAACTGGGAAAGAATTTTATATGCACTTTAAAATAGTAAAAGGCAAATGTAAAATTTTTAACATATAAAGAAAAAGTATATGTAATTTAATTTCCAGTAGGATTTCCTTTCTGAAATTGTCTATAACCTCTTCTTGGACTATATAAGATCCCCCACATGACATGTGATAGTAGTAGAAGCATGGAAGAAATGTATGTTTTGGTAGAAACAGATTATGAGTAAAACCTTTTCTTTTAAAGCCAAAATATGAAGACTTCATAAAAACCATTGGTCTTAAGGGATAGAGGCTGAGTGGACTGATGGTTCTGAGCAAATCCTTTAACCACTCCAGAAGAAACAATTCAGAGTACATATGCTTTAGAAATGAATCATTAACAATGTTTTTAAAATTTTTTTTTTGGTTGTAGATGGACACAATATTTATTTTTATGTGGGTGCTAAGGCTAGAACATTCCTCACACCTGTGAGGCAGGTGCTCTACCACTGAGCTACAGCCCCAGCCCCTCATTAATAATGTTTTCACGCGTTAAATAGAGCATATTATTACTATTTTGATACACAACTAATAGTAACAGCTAACATCAACACTATGTAACAGGAATTATAATTAGCACTTTACTATTTTATTGAATCCTCATAATAACCCACTAAGGTAGGGTCTATTATCATCATCTTATAGAGGAGTAGTTAAAATTTATAGTCTTTACTTTTTTAAGGTACTAATAGGGATAAAATGCTTAACGGCCAAAATAGTGATCACAAGACCCTAAAGTTGAGGTCCTAAATACTAGGAAAAATTACTTTCATTCTCTAAAAGTTTACTTTTAAAAAACAAAAATTTTTAGAAAGACTAATTCCCTAGCTTCCTAATCTGTCCTCAGCAAACAGCAGAGGCAGCTATGAACTGAGATAGGCTTTTATTTAGTCATCTAGTTATTTATTTGGAACTTATTATACTCCAGGCACTAACAGTGAACATGCCTGGACGAGGTACAAGCATTCCTGATCCTTATAATCTAGTATGGGAAACACAATAAATCAAATCCTACATATGTACAATTCCAATTGTAGTAAGTACCGTGAAGAAATCCAAAGTGTCTTGTAAACATAATAGGTACATACAAATCTGGGCAGAGAGATAGGAGCCAAATGGTTTATAAGGGTAGACACCTTGTAGAGGGTAAACAGTCATTCTAATGCTCACTTAATAAAAGTGGTGAACTTCAGTAATTAAGGTAACATTCAGTATCCCATGTTTATTAAGAAAGTAAAAAAGTATTTAATATGCTTGGAAAGATTCCCACCAGATTAACTGGATAAAAATTGTGGACATTTGGGGTGGGGGTGTAGTTCAGTTCTAGAGCATTTACCTAGCACACACAGACTCTGGGTACTGTCCCAGCACTATAAAAACAATGACCAAAACCATTTGGATATTTGAAGAGATAAGCATTACATTTTATTTGATTTGATTATTTTGGTTTTATTCTAACAATGTATCCTTTTTTATGAAATAGTAAAACTGAAAGAAACATATCTTATATTTTTAACTAGCCTTTTATAATAAGTGATAACTAATCAAAAATTTGGTAATTTCTAAAATCTTAATTTATAACTTTTTTCTTTTCTTTCTCTAATATATTCTTGAACAACAATCTAACTGCAAAATATTACTGTCTCCTAGATAAATTGCCAAGAGTTCACTACATTAATTATAACAGGAACATGACAACACAACATTTAGAGTACCTACTGTTATTCCAAATATTGTGTTAGAATTTGAATATTCCAAGATGAACAATGGTCCTTACCCTCTAGAAGGCCACAATATAGAAGTAATTCTGCTTCAGACATTCCCTTGAATATTGAGTATTAGTAATTATGTTGTTAAGTTCCACATATATGTCAAGAAGCAACTACCACCAACTACCACCTCACTATGATTTGGTGATAATTTAACATTCAGTGCTTCTGTTAACTTTCACTTTTTTTTCTTTCCATAATTATGCAGTGCCTCTTCTTGTTATGATTTTTAGTGGGGCTTGTATTAAAAATGCTTTTGTGATACTATAGTAGAAGATATATTTTTACTTTCCAATTTATATTGTTTTCCTTAAATATCAAGAATAATGAATAAAGTTTGATTTTTAAATTCACCATGTGATGCCTGATTTATTCAAGTTAAAGGAAGTTTGTTAAGATTTGGAGATTTGTTTCATATAATTCACATAGCACCCAGTACATTTAATTACTTAAGTGACTCTTAAAATGAGATTGGATTTTATCAACTGTTTTCAAAGTTTTAAAAATTATTTTAGCAAAACTTTTTGTTGTTGTTCTAATTGAAGTTACTTCTGAACAAGCTATGACTTTGAGAACATTTTGAAAACCATATTTTTAAGCAACATAAAAGAGCAGGAGCAGTAGAACTGACCTTTTGGTTTGACTAGAGCTAACATATGATTGTCCAGGAATAATATATATCTCTTAAATTGCCTTTATGTGTCTGTATTGACAACACTTTATAATATCTCCACATACTTTCAATTAGGCCCTTCTGTGTCTGTGACTTTCACTTAGATGCCAGCTTAGAAGGGAATCAATACCATAGTCTGTTCTCATCAGCACTATATTAAAATCATTCAAATGAATCATACTTCACATAATCAAACCTAAGTTTTACAATACTTTGACACTGTGCTTGTAAAACTGGTGATGATGTGGAATAATGACTAATATAATTCATTATAACGAGCCAAGCCTGGTGGCACATGTCTGTAATACTAGAACTCTGCGAGGCTGAGGCAGGAGAAAAGGAATTTCAAGGCAAGCCTAGGCAACTTAACAGGRCCCTATATCAAAATAAAATAAGGCCTGGAGATGTAGCTCAGTGGTTAAAGTGCTTGCATAGCATGCACAAACCCCTGGGTTCAATCCCCAGTATTACAAAAAACAAGTTACCATAACCCCAAGGGTGCTCTGCCACTAAGCTACATCCTCAGTCCCTTTATTTTACTTTAAGACAGGGTCTCTGCTAAATTGCTGAGGGTGGCCTTGAACTTGTGATCTTCCGAAAGGCTCACTACCTATTCTTGCACTATACAAGACCATGAAGATCTGAAAATACGCCTGCCCCAAGGACTTGTATTTGGTGGACAGGCTGGTAGTTGAACACAAAGCAAGGTAGAATGCAGCCTGTATTTTCAACTGCGTCTAAGCAGACAAGAAAAGTTCTAACTTAGGAAAGGTATCTTGGTGAAGAAATTATTGTCTGGCTTCCTGAAAAACAAGGGCTTTCTACACTTCGCCCTTGCAAAAGTAGTTTTAAAAAGACAAGTTTTAAAAAGACAAAAACACCTGATAACCAAAGAAACCTTGGGCGTCTTCTAATGTAAGCCGCTCATCTTAGAGATGGAAGGAAAAAAAAAATAAAGGCGAAACTAGAAGGGTATTTGCCTACTATTCTCACAAGAGTAAGTCGGTAGCAGAACATTTCTGCCAGAACAATACCCTCCCACTTGATGAATCAGTCGTTAGTGCTCACTGGAAATCCATCATACTTCTTGCCCTTTCTGCACCTGCTTCCTAAGTCTTAAGGTGACTGAAATACCTGCCAGTCTTATCCAAGCCCAGAGCCTCGACACTCGAGTACACCTGCCCTCATTTTGGGGAGTCAGTCGGTGGAGTACGACAACGCCAGAGGCGACTTGATATAAACCCACACTACGACTGAACTCCGCCGCTTGGCGCRTACAACACTCTGGGCAGGAACGCGGCCTCGGAAGTGACGTAGCGGAAGTGGAAGTGCTGTGGTGGTGCTGACTTCCTGTTGTTAGAGGCGGGGGGGTGGGGGGCTGGCCGCTTGGAGTGCGATTGTGTTGGGCTGCCTGGGCGGCCCGGGAGCGGCTGACCCTCTGCCTGCGGGGACCGGAGTCGCTAGGCGTCCGTCATGGCGGTGTCGGAGAGCCAGCTCAAGAAAATGGTGTCCAAGGTGAGGCCGCGACGCTCTCTCAGCCCCGCGCGCGCCCACCACTCCCTTCCGCGCTTGGCCCGGACCGGACCAGCCAAGCCCAGCCCAGCTAGTCTCCCGAGCTGGCTGGAAGCCTCAGTGCGGTCCTCCGCTGCCTTCGCGGCCCCCACTCCCGAGGCGTCAAAGGCCTCGGAATCTGTTTATACCCTGGTAGGGAAAATGGGGGGCGGCCGGCGACCGTCAACAAAGGCGCAGAGGCTGTCTGCCACCTGCCGCCCGTCCTTCGCTCTTCGGGAGAGTTTGGAGCCTTCTGTCGGGCGGTATAGTTTTCCTCTTAAAATGTATAAACAGAGCCGGTCGTGCTTAGTTTCTGATCTAAGGTGCCAGAAACCCGTCAGTCTGCCCTTCCCTCGCTGGGGAGACTGGCCTTTGCAGTTTTGTATCCCCCGCGTAACTCAACACCGGGCCGGCGAGAGAGTAGAATTGGCTCGGTTAAGTCAAAACGTCCAAAATAACAGTCCTTCGCTACCTCGGGAGCGTGAGTTTAAATTACAGTCCCCACAACTCAACTAGTGTATTTTTTTTTTCATTTTTAAAACAATCAGGCATTTTGCATTTTAAAGTCSTGGTTTAATTTGGTAATCACTTCAAAATGTGGTACTTGACCGGAGTGGAACGGTTTGGTTTTGTTTTGCGGGGGGGGGGGGGTAATTTTAAATTAATTGGAATAACATGTAAAGTGGTCGAGAGTTGAGCCTTCCCCAGTTCAATGGCTTAGCTTTAGATAGTTTGGTCAAAGCAGAATTGGTTTCTACCAATTATCCTCGGTTTAAGCAGTTTTCAACTTATAATAAAGCGCACTATTATTTATAACACTTTTGTTTTTCCCTTTTTTAAAAAAAAAAAGTGCTTAACTGAAGACCAAATAACTTCTAAAGAGAAAGTTTCATGGAGGGCCTGAGGCATGAGGATTGCAAGCTCAAAAGCCAGCCTCAGTAACTTAGGGAGATCCTGATTCAAAATAAAATATTCAATCCCAGTACCAAAAAGAGAGAGAAAATTTCAAAATAGAGAATGTCTCCTACACAAAAAGTACATTAAATAGTATTTTGGAAATTGATAGTGTATTTTAGAGAAAAGTAAAGCAGGCTAGGCCCTTAGTACCCTAAGTAGCTTAGTGAAACCCTGTCCCAAAATAAAAAACATAAAGGACTGGGGATTGGTTCCATGTTAAAGTGACCCTAAATTCAATCCACAGTACCAAACAAAAGAAGAAAAAAAAAAAGTTAACCAGGAACTAGAAATAGAGTGCTAGTGGGTAGAAAATGGGGTTAGGTTACAATTTTATATCAGAGTAAAGGAAGAGAGTCGGTTTAGACATTAAACTTCAGTGGTTGGGAGATTTTGGAGGCCCTAACAAGCTGTTATAAGGATTTGACATTTAGTTGGACAATGATGGCAGGTGTTTTAA